TCTAAACCCCTATGCGGATATCCCCCATACTGCTTTGGGGAGAACACAGAGGCAAAACAGTCATTTAGCATCTGTGCCTGTTCCCTCGTATCAGTCACTGGATCTCCTTCCTCCTTGTTTAGTGGTCCCACTACACTATTTTTGTGTGCATTTCTTGTTTAGATAACTCCACAGCAAGAGTTGGAGATGTGCAAATTTCCAAAGGTTCATGTATTGCTTGGAAACTATAAAATCAGCTCAGTTTGCATTAAAATGAGAACTGAACAAATTTCTTCTTGCTCTCTAACTGAAAGCTCTCCTCCAAACTATCTGTGAGGTTAGTTTCTCTCTACGTGGCTTGCAATAGTTAATGACAAAAAGCGATGAAGGGGAACCTTCCGTCCGGATATTTTGGCAGGAGCCCAGATCCGCTGTCAAAATGACACTTCTCCAGAGACAGGAGGCTGGCTAAGATAAAGGGAAACACAGAGGATCCTTGTAGGCCAATGGATGCCGGGGTGGAGCAGGTGTGCGACTCCACTAAGTTCTTCTGTTGCTTGCAAAGTGGTGCTCCCCAAAGGCCCCTCTACCAGCTGCCATGCTGGCTGTGATACTGGGATGCTCCGAACTGTGTTTATGGAAAGGCTTTCACAACAGAGCCAAGTGGCAGTTAATTAACCCTTGCATACATTTTGACCACATGTGAAATAAGGAGGCAGAAAGGCTGGGCTTTCCCCTCCATTGTTCCAAGAGGAATGCAACAGATTCCAACTAGTCGTGTGAGAAGCTGGTTGCCAAGACCAAAAGTGCAAGCTGAAACCAGAGAACGCCCCGGGAGACAGGTCTGAAGAGCAAGGCAGTAATCGGGCAAAAAACAACCAAGGATTCAGGGATGTGCCACCTCGCAGGAAGACTTCAGTGTGCAAGCGAGGCTTAGCTAACCAGACACCCTTATGCTTCTTCCTGTTCATTGGCCTTGGAGGCAGTTTGGTGAAAAGCTGCTGACCCTTGCAGCTCAGTAGCCCACCATGCAGCTGCCCACAAGTTCCAGCAACTCCTAACACAGAGAGAAACTAGGAAATCTGTGTCTCTAGCAGGGCCCTCTTGTCTGTTGGTCCTGGAAGCCTAGAGCTGATGCTGGCAGTTGCCACATAACTCAGGACACTTGCGTTACTTTACAACCAAGGAAAATGGTTTTCTTATGCACCAATTCATGGCAAGTCCCTCTATTCAAGCCCCTAGAAAGTGACTGGGCCCTATGGGGACTGTGCTGGAGAATTTTCCCATGGCCATTGCCTCTTATGTCCAGAAGACTTTGGGCAAATCAACTGGGTTGATCCATGGTCATCAAACATCTGTCAAGCCATCACATGGAAGAAGACAAAAACTTGTTCATTGATGCTCCAGAGGGCAGGGCTAGATCTAATGGGCTTAAATTACAGGAGGGCAGATTTTGGTTGAACATTAGAAGGATCATTTGACGGTGGAAACAATTGACCTGGGGTGAGTTTTCCTCACTTGAGGTCTTTTTATTTATTTTATTTATTAAAACATTTTTATGCCGCCCCATTCGCCGAAGCCTCGGGGCGGCTTACAACATAGATAAAACAAGTTAAAATCCATATAAAATAATCTTAATTAAAACTCACATTACTTGAGGAGGAGTTGAACTGAATGGCCAAGAGAAGGCAGATTACTCAAATATTTCACAATAGCAGGAATAAAACTAGTTCCTCCACTCTTCACACCCCAAATTAAACTATTAAAATGAAAAAGATCACTTTGCTAAGCAGGTGTGGGCTTGGTGTGGGAAGGACTCTGAGCAACTTGCAGTTCTGGGAGTTAAAACAAATGGCTGGGCTCCTATTTCTTTCATTCTAAGCAAATGACTGGGTTCAGACAACACAATATCCCAAAGCTGAATATGGGTTGAGTGTGTGTTGTTGAACTGTGGGGTGTCATTGAAACATGGCTCATCATGTTGTGTGACTGCAGCTGTAATAACAAGTCATGGTTTGTTAGCTATTAATAACCCACAGTTCACAGCCTGACAACAAACCATTGATTCTCTTCATGGGTTGTTCATGGTTAACAAACCATGGCTTGTTGTTGCACCTAGATGCAGACAATGCAATTCATGGTTCAACAGCTTTAGTTACTAACAGAATTAGTTATTGTGTCATCTGAATCCACTTTAGGTCTTCTGCACAAGTCTTCAGTTGGTGGCTCTCAGACTTCTAATGGAAAACAAGATCCTATTCCAAAGTGTAGCAGATCTGGCGTGCATAGAGTTGATATATTGATATCAGCTGGGATATTTTGATTGATATTTTGATTAGCAGTAATGCTGAATTTGTCTGGTTTGTTGATCTAGCCCGCATTTTAGACTCTGTGAGCCTGGAACTGTGGTTTAGGCATTAATTTCGGAGCCATCATTCAAACAATGCACACTGCCAAGAAAAATCCCAAAACGCAGAAGCTGCATTGATCTATCAAGAAACCAGTTTTAGCAATAGCCAAACTAAATACTTAGATCCATGCCACCTGAATACTTTTTAATACAACAAATAACAATATTTTGCCCTTGGGAAAATTCAATTTCCCCAGCTATGTGAGGATTGCAGCTCAGCTCAGCGGGAGCAGAGGATTCCAGAGGGGCTTGCAGATGTCATCTTCCTCATGGTCAGAGCAATAAGACAGTGGGACCAGCCGCCTGGAGAGGCACTGGGCTCTCCCACACTACAGCCATGCAGAAAGAAACTGGGCAGCCCTCTGAGTGGGATGACGTAACATGGTGTGGCAGCAGGGGGTTGGACTTGGCGGCCTTCATGGCCCCTTCCAACTCTGCTCTTTTACGATTCTATGATCTCCAACCCTGTTCACAAAAAAGTGCCAGTGCGTCACTCCTGCGGGTTCAGGTTCCGGGGGACTGTCAAAGGGCAGCCACCGTCAAAGTGTGCTTTTATCTCGTAATGGCATATTCGTCAAATCCCTCCACCCCTGCAGAAAGAGTTGCTTGACTTCTTGCACTTCCTCCGCCACCTCAAGCATTCGTGATGTGAAGAACTGCGATGCTGTTCTGCAGTGCCACACATCTGTGCTCTGGTGGTTGTGTTGGCAGCAGCATGGTTTTTGGCCACTTCTCCGACCAGCAGCTTTGCCACCAGCAAACCTTGGCCAATTCCCTTGAGGTCTAATTGGCACTCAAGCACTCTAAATGCGATCGCTGCAGTAACTGGAAATAGTATTTCCACGAGGCACACACTGCATGAGGAGACGGAGCTCAAACTGAAGAGGGGATTTTGGCTTGCTCAGGTCTCCTCACTCTCCATTTGGCCAGCAGTGGGTCCCATAGTTCCCTCTCCAGCACAAATATAAGGTGCTTTCTGCCCTCTTTGGCCAGCTCCATTGCAGCTCAGGCACTGGCCTGTTTGTACATTTGTTACCCGTAAAGCATGCGAAGGGCAGGCGAACATGCCCGTTGCAATGGTGGAGGAGCAACTCCAGGGGACTCTTGGCATGGAGTGGGACCTCCTGCTGAGCCTGACCCCTTGGCAAGTGCCCTACCTGTGCAAAGAGTAAACCCACGCCTAAGCCCCAAGGAAAGCAAGCGTTTACAAGAGGCACCCCCAGCGTGACATCTGGAAGGTGCCTGGCAGGGGAAGGCTAGTTTACGAAGTGCACATAGGACAGAGCTCCACAACTGTGTTTGCTCCCATTTTCTTCAGGCATGAGGCTGCTTCATTTGTCCTCTTTGCATCTGGATTCTCTGCATCACATCACACCTTTCTCCAACATGGCGCCCTTCAGATGTGCGGGGCAGCAACCTGGCAAGCTTCTAATGTGTTGGCCTACAACTCCCATGAAGCTTCTAGGAGTTGTAGTCCAAGGCGTTGGGAGGGCAAGAGGCCGGGTTGACTGCAGACAATGGGAGTGGTTGCCTGGCATATCTGGAGTGGTGTCCTGCCGGAGGAAAGCCAGTTTTACCCAGTCAAGTGGAAGAGTTTTGAGAAGCATCTTCCATGGGTGCAGGTGGCTTGCTGAACAAATGAGTCTGCCTTACAGAGCCACCCCACCCCAATTCATCGCGGTGCTTGCGTCTGTGTTTCTTTGCTTGGCTTTTTCTCCCATGCAGCTCCTGCAAAGACCAAACCAGCTCACGGTGCTGGCAAAAAGCATGCCAGGAAACCAGGTAATGGCTGTGCTGTGGTTGCCAGTAGTTCCAGTGGTCGTCTCAGCATCTAGTTTGCTTGCTAGTTTCTGCTACCAGTGAACCTAGGCAGAGAAGGCTCAGCAAAAGGAACGAGCACCAGCAGATCATTTTCAGACCCCGGGCTTCATGGTCTTACAGGTGGTCTGCCTTTAGGTTGTCGTCTGCATGCCCTCACTTACTTCCAGATGTGGCGAGCCAGCCCTGCTGCACTTGGGGGGGAGGGTCCCCTCGTGCTCCTTCTGCCAAGAGGATCCTTGGGCTCCTGCCCGAATCCTGGCCTAAGTCAGCCACCCAGAGGCACAGTGTCGCTTATATAAGCCTAAGATTAGGTCAAAGTATGTGCTATCTTATATACCCAGAGGTTCAGGTCAGCTCGCCAGGAGGACTGGGTGGGTATGTTTCAGAGTGTCTTCCACGCCTCCTCACCACCACCACCGTTGCCTGGGTCAGGTTGCGATGGCAAAGAAGTGGCACGCCACTGGGGGCCGTTGTCAGTGGCCCCTGGGGAGGTATGGGAGGGCAGCAACTGCCTGATCAGGCCAGTCCTCGCTGCCCGCTTTGATACTGACAGCAGGCCTGCAGTGGTGGCAGGTTTGGATGCCAAATACCAGGAGAAGGAAAGGTGGCATGCAGCAGTAAAGAGGCCAGTTTTGCTGTGCTGTAATAGGATTTGGGCTGTGCCCATGTGATGCTTGTGGTGTAGTTGCTGTAATGCTAAATCCACTTCCCTGTAGTGTAGGAGTGAGAGCCTTCTGCATGTGATGTGGAAAGGAAGGGGGAAAAATTGGTGTCTTTTCATCTCCCCAAGCCTCTCCCAAGGTCTCCAAACTCATCCGACTCAAACCTGGCTCTGTTCCACTGGGACCCATTGAAACATTTAAAGGTAAGACAAGGAGTGTGTAAGAAATGGAAAGCCACGCCCATGTGGAAACTGAGAGTCTCAGGAAGGTTCTTCAAGAAAACCCAGTGTTCAACCACGCCATCTCCCTCACGTTGCCTGCTGGTTTGGGGCTGAGTTTTCCTTGACATATAAAACCTGTGTACAAATTGAAATATTTTGGACTGTAGGCATGGAGATGTGGGGTGGGGTGTGTTTGCATGTTCAGCTGCCCTTAAATACACCCAAACTCCCTGCATGTAAAGAACTAGCATGTCAGGTTAGCCCTTTGGTGAGGAAACCTTAAGAACTTGCACCTCTGTTTCTGTTTGAAATGCAGTAAGGTGCAATCCTGCAGCCTTGCAACATTATCTGGGGACCATGGGATCATTCAGAGTCCCCAGCTGCCCCCCCTTGAGGTGGCAAATGAGGGGAGAAAAACAGGCATGCCCGGAGCAGGGAGGGGAGAAGGCTGGGGTTGGGGACTTCCACTTCAGGCAACTGAAAACAGCCATCTAAATAAGATCGGGGGCGGAGTGAGGTGAGGAGGGAGTGGAGGCGCCTGCTGCGTGGGATGGCACATGCGGTGAGTGCAAGTCTCTGCATCCAGAGGCTCACATGCATCGAGGGAATTGGCTTGCGCCGATCCCCTATAAGCTTCAGCTCACATGGCTTGTGGCTGCAGCAACACCTCCAGTGATGAGGGACCGACGTCTCTGAGCGGTGGGTGGCTTTGCAGCCAATACTGTCTGAAGCCGGGAGATAGGCCAGCTGACAGATGGGGCTATGAGCCTTCTTCCCGCTGCTGCTCCAGGGCATCCCCCCTCGAGGGCTGGGATGAACAGACTCCTCCCTTGGAGGGCTGACGGGGCCATGCCGAGGGAGGCTGGTGGGCACGGCTTCCCTCGGCTGGGGTGGAGGCAACAGGGGCAGCTCTTGTGGCTGCGTGCATGGGCATGAAGCCTTGCTGCTTCCAGCAGAGGGCCCTTCAGACGTGGAGAAGCCAGCGCCACTGGATGCAAGACGGGCCGGCCCCTGCTGTTACACTTGCTTCAGGTGGAAGACATGGAGGCGGCGGCAGCAGCTGAGCGCAGGTGATGGTCCTCTGGAGGAGGGAGGACAAGAAGTTCCCGGCACCTTGCCCTGCCTCCATGCTCTGAGCTCACCTGTTGCCAGTAGAGGCTGGTGGTGCCAATGTTGGTGGCATACCGTATCCACGCTGGGCTGCAGTTTGGACTTCGAGGGAGCTGTCCGTCGTGCCAAATCCAGGCCCCTGTCCTCCAAGTAGCACCTTAAGAATTTGAACCACAACCCAGAGCGGAGATATCGTCCCACTGACACCAGCACCACCAGCCTCCAGCACTGGGGCGGCCTTTGCCATCCCAGGAGCACACTGAGTCCCCCTCCAGTCCCGGTGGCTTCGGCACCAGGAATGGGGCTCCGTGCCTTTTGCTCCAGGCTGCAAAAAGTCGTGAGCTGGCCCTGCTCCTCAAACCGCCACTCTGCAGCAGAATCTGCCCAGATGGGGATGCTGGGTACAGCGGGGCTGGTGATCGTGCGGTGGGTGGCCACAGACCTTCTGCGGGGGACTGTAGATTTCCCTTTGGCTGGTTTCAAGGTACAGACCCCAGTGAAGGAGGAGCGAGGAGGGTGTCGGGGTTGCAGATCACGCCTAGTTCAAGTGGGAGGAGTGCGGGGTACTGGGCCACAGGCGCCGCCCATCAAACAGGATGTGCAACCCAGCTGCCCAGTCCCCGTTTTCATTGCTGCAGGGAGGTGTATTTCCCGCTAAACTATAGTACTCTCTTCTACGCTCTCCTGCCACATGCACGTCATGGCAGTCTGTTCAGGTGGGAACGCGTCACCATTTCAAGGAGCTGCTCCTTTGTGTTGGCTGCTGGCTGTGTTCTGCGAAGAACAGTTGCCATATGGACGCTTCGCAGGGGATGCATCTCTCGGTGTGACCCAAAGTGGCAGGCAAGGCTGGGCCTGCTACATTTCTGTGTGCAAGGCTGTTGTTGAAAAGTGAAGGAGACTGGCAGATAAACGTTTTAAAAATGGGCAACACTCTCATTTCAGCTGTTGTTCTTGAAACACTTGCTCTACCATCAGAAGAAAAGGCCTGTATACTTTGGGAATCAATGTCCTTCTGGGGTGGGGGGCGTTGCCCCATAGATCCCATGGGAGTGCTTGTTTTATCACACCCTTTGCATGTCCACTCCCCTTGCCTTTCCGTGCACCATCTTCATTCCAGTCACAGCAGAGTTCAGCTTGCCATCAATGCGCCAAGCGAAGTCCTTGCATGCCTCGACTGTGCGCCAAAGAGGGCTTCCCCCACTCTCCTTCAGACGTGCATGAAATCGGCAGCCTGACTATGCTGAAAGATGGGAGTGTGGCCTCCCCCATCATTACCTGAGCTGCACTGCCCATGGGGACCCCCCGCAGCTGAGCCCTTTCCGAACAATGTTTCATGAATAGAGGACAGGATGCAGAACGAGCTTTTCTAATCTCATGGCCTCTTGATCTTTGGGATGGCAATTTACACCATGCCCAAGCAGCTCCTGGCTAGAGGGTGTTGGAAGCTGTACTGCAACAGGTCTGGTGGACCCTGTGCTGGAGGAAGGCTTACACTGAAGATCTGCCATAGTGCTGTAATTGCTTTGGATAAATGTGCTCTTCCGTTGGAAGAAGGACCAGTATTTGTAAAACAGCTGTTTTTCTACTGAAATATAATTTCATGGTATGCCAAGAGTCCAGCCTACAAACAGAGAGGGGACTGCCATGACCCCATGCCCTGGCCTCTCCATACATACGATCAAAAGTATCAAATGACCCTTCCTATCATTTGCTTCCATGTTCCTGAAAATAAGCAATTCCTATATATCATCATTACTACGGTGTTGCTTTTACACACTGCCTTTCTTCCTCTTGCTAGAAAGCCAGGGCAGCTTGCAAGCCTTCCTTCCTCTCCATTTTATCCTCACAACAACAAGCCTGTGAGGAAGCTCGGGCTGGGAGTCAGTGACTGGCCCAAAGTCTCTTTCTGGGCATGGCCAAATAGGAATGCAAATCCAGACCATCTAATCTAAGTCCCGGTCCCAGTCCAGTGCTCTAACCAGCACCTCTCACTGGCTCCTTGTATGAAGCAGTCTACAATTTTTGTCAATAAAAAGGGGGTCAAAATGATCTTCATCCCTAGTATTGGCCCCAGGAATGGAAGCCCAACTGCTCCCGGGGACACCAAGTCACAGTTCCAGCTGGTTGTCAGATGTTCCTGGGGCGGGAGGTCTCTTGCCCCCGAAGCATGCCCTGCTCTGTTGATGAGCTCCGTTTTCCTGCATGGCTGCTTGCTACGGCACCGTTTAGCACTGTGCCAGTTGCAGGCAATGAGCCAGAGACATCCCCGCTCTTCCCCTCTTCTCCTGCAGATTGCGAATGTTACGGTCACTCCAATAGGTGCAGCTTCATCGACTTCCTCAACCTGGTGACCTGCATCAGCTGCAAGCACAACACCCGAGGGCAGCACTGCCAGCACTGCCGGCTTGGCTACTACCGGAATAGCTCCGCAGAGCTGGATGACGAGAACGTGTGCATAGGTGAGCCGCTTGCTGTGGGAAACCCCGTGGCATTCAAGGCGGGCATCCCTTGCTTTAGGGATGCATGCAATGGGCACTGGCATGCTGTATCCACCCTGAATTAGCTGGAGCATCTACGGAGCTACCTAGGATGCTGAGCCTATTTTGGAATAAGGTTGAGCAGTAAGGACAGGCCCCTTAAAATTCAGACCATAACCCGGAGTGGTTGCACCACCCCACTAACAGCAGAGGCTCCAGTGCATGTATAGGTTTATAGAAACATAGAACCAGAGCGAGTCAGAAGGGGTCTCCTGGGCCATCTAGTCTGACCCCCGGCTCCAGCCAGCTTCATATCTGCTTGCAAAACAGGCAGGTGTGCTTATTCAAAGCCCCAGATGCAAGCATGTGTCATCCTGTGTTCACCTGAGACAAGCAGGGAGATGATGCTTGGGCAATCCTTGCGGTTGTGAAGGTTTCTTATTGTTGACCCCTGCTTTGTGCAGGGGGCATGGAACCCATGGCTGCTGTGGGGCAGTCTGTGCATGGCCCTGGAATGGATGCAGACAGTGTTCAAGTCTCATTTTTAAACACAAGATCTGGGTTCCAAAACAGTCTCCCCAATTTCAAAAGGCCTCATATTTTTTGTGGGAGAAGGGAGGTATTTTCTTGTCACAGTTTATGGAAAGTGCAAACTGGATGAGACCTTGAACTTTCCTGTGACTTTATTGGTGCAACAGCAGGGCCTTTGGGCACTTCAAGGAAACCCCTCCAGCATTCTGAGCCCCGTCCCCAAATTACTGATAAGCTGCTGCAGAACTGCCGGCTAAATAAATCTTTCAACATCATTTCCCCACCCCGCTGCATTTCTCAAGTTCTTCTTTGTGGTCTCTGTGCATCACACATATGGGCTCTGTGCCTGTGTGGGGCCTGTTGCCAGAAAGATTTTCCCAGCTAAACTTGTTCTGGTAGGAGCCCCCTCCCTCCATCCCTCTGGTATCTATGGGGGGGGGGGGGGCTCTTGCCAATTTTCCCAGTTCTTTTCCGACTGTCAGGTCTTTCCTAGCACTTTCTCTGATTACTTTCAAACCCTTCTACCCAGTGCTTTTTTTGTTAAAAAAAAAAAGGTGCCGGAACTCACGTCACCGGCAGCAAGCGTGCGACCACACACACCAATCCCAAGCTGAGCAGCTGAGCAGCTCCCAAGCCAAGCTCCCTCACTATCAGGTAGCAGATGGCAGACACAAAAGCAGCCTGCAGGCACTATGTTAATGATGCTTGCTGCTGATGAAAAAAAGGTGCCAGAACCCTGTTCTGGTGCGTTCTATGACAAAAAAGGCCCTGCTTCTACCAATCTCTCTCTTCTGCAACTCATTCCATTCACTTACTTTTCTTTCTCATTTTTAGAAACCCAGCCTTTTTGCTATCCTTATGAAAACAAACAACGCCCCCCCCTCCCCGGTCATCTTCTCTTTTTAAATTTTTTCCTCAGCTGTCAATCCCCTTTCTCCTCTCTGTCCCCCACTGGTGCTCAAGTCAGCCTCGGTGAGGACAAGGCGCACCTCCAAGGTGACACTATCATCGGGTCCCTCCGGGGACATCGACGGGGCCTGCCCGGGCCAACCCTCGATGCTGGCACCACTTCACAGCAAGCGGCCTCTCTTGACCTGCACTTCGTTTTCTTGTTCGTTCGGACAGATTGCAATTGCAACCGGATAGGCTCTCTGGCCAACCGCTGCAACGAGACCGGCTACTGTGACTGCAAAGGCGGTGGCATCACTGGGCCGAAATGTGACGACTGCCTCCCTGGCTACTACTGGAGACAGGGCTGCTTCCGTAAGTAGGACTGCCTGGCCGGGCCCCTCACCTGCTTGGGGAGGAAGCAAGGAGCCCTGTGGGGACCACCTGCCCTCCATGGGGACGGTCCCTAGTTCCCTCCCTGGTGCTTCTAGAGGGAGAGTCAGGTAACCAATGCTTGTGTTTGAGGAGAACAGGGACATGGCACTGCGGGCCTGAGGGCCAGTTTCCCCAAATACTCTTGCCCCCTTCCCTGGCCAGATATCACACCATCTTCTCTGCATCCCAGAAGTGTGGGTTTGGCTGTTGGAGAGGAAAGGGCAGGTGCAGGGGAAGTTCTGGTGTAGCTCTTCAAAGCAAACCATAATGGGCCAACTCTGACCCACTTAGAGGGCAAGCCTGAATCCGGCCCAGTCCAACCATTTGCTGGTTTCCTGGGTGTTCTGCCACCCCGCCAACATTCTGAAAAGTTGGAATGCCTCCTCTACGGGCAGGAAGAGTCTTGAGCTAAAATCTGTGGGTGTTTGGACTGGAGGCAGTCAGGGAGTGGCCCACGGGGCTGGGGTCCCTTCCTCAGGGGCCCTCCAGCAAACCGAAGCTGGCCCTGGAGGTGCCCAGCTCCAGGGTTCACCAGCGCGCCCGGCCTTCTCTGTTGCTGCAGCGAACGTCTGCGATGAGGAGCTGCTGCTTTGCCAGAACGGAGGCACCTGCTACGCGAACCAACGGTGCATCTGTCCGCCTGGCTTCAAGGGAGTCCTCTGCGAGCAAGCCAAGTGCGAGGGGGAGAACGCAGAGTGCGACTCGGCCGCCGGCTTGTCCCCCAGCCCCTCGGCCCTCCTCCTCGGCGCCCTGGGTCTGCAGCTGCAACGCCGGTGGAACCTGTAAAGCACGAGGGACACCGCCCGGTGCAGATGCCTCAGGATTGGGGACTGAAGAGGGAAAGGGGGGTCGCAAGCTGGGTGTGGGGTGTTCCCCCCTGCCCCAAAGCCTCTTTCCTCTTACAGAAGGGGCAGGAGGATTCGAGGAGGTCTGAGGCGCCTCCTGGCCAAGTTGCTGAGGACCCTGGCTGAATGAGTGCTGCAACAGGGCAGAGACAGAGCTCATTAAATCGCCAGAGATAGAGGGTGGGGAAGGAGCGTCTCGCCACAACTTGAGAGGAAGCGAAGGACTTGCAATGCTTCCCCTGATCCTTTACGGGGTGAGCGCTTTGCCCTTCTACTTTGCACAGGGGGAGTCTGCCAAAAATAATTATAACAACTTGCCACAAATCTCCAGCATTTAGTTGTTCAGACTTTGTTTTCCTGTTCCTTTTTTCTTACTTTCTTATTTCCTTTCCCCTCCTTACTTCTGATGTTTGCAAGGAAGCACCTCCAGCAGAGACTGCAGCTAGGGAAACCAGGTGGCGTGGGCCAGGTACTAGAACACAAGACTGTACCCTCCCTTGCACCACCAGCCCACTCTGGCTGAGGTCTAAATGTTATATCGTTGCCTATAAATCAAGTTGCTGACTGTATTAAGTTTTTGTACTCCTCCCCAACTCATTTTTATCCTTTGGTTGTGATTCTTCAAGTTGTTCCTTTTCTCACACTCAAGACCAGGACTTAAACAAGGCCGCTTCGTATCGCGCCAAAGTGTAACCGTGTTATCCAGGCTTTGCCGTAGAGTTTACTGTTTAAATACTTTTTTGAGTAGAGAATTATTTTTGTTTGGATTATAAATGTTCTAAAGGAAAAACAAAAAAACCACCACAGCCTCTAGAAAGACATTTTACCGTAAGCGTCATGGCGTAATAATCCCACTACAGCAAAGGAACTAATTGCTGGCAGGCCTCCAATTTTATTTTATTTTATTTATTTTGCCATTGCATGCTCAATGAACCTACTGGCAGCAGCTTTTAAATCGCAGATGTCTCCTTGCTTTTTCTGACACCAAAAAAGCAAATACGATCGCTGGAGTGGGACTGGGATTGCTGGGCTTTACCCTTTGAATTCTTTTAAAATAGCTATCTTTATTTATATGAAAATGAATCTTGGCTATGCTTTCTGGGTTATTTATTTCCATACAGGTGACAATGAGACTGCTAATTCTTTCTCAGCAGTGATCTGACTTTATTTCCAATGCTAGCTGAGACGTGGAGCACTGGAAGATGTTAATAAGAACAAGTAACCCCATAACAGAGGAACAAGTGAGGTGTCTGTTGCCAAGTATTCGGTTTCTTGCAAAAATGCTCCTGCTTATGTGTCCAATATACCTTGCCCTGTTGAGGCCTGGGGAGTTGCCCCTCAGGTTAATTCCTTTATTTCCTTTTTGCACTTCTAATGTCAGGATTCCCTGGAGAATGCTCAGATTTGCCCCTCTTCTTCCTCAGTAGCTGAGCTTCTGTTGGCACGGTTACAAGAATTAGGAGGCTGGGTGGGATGCTGAGGCTTGCCCAAATACACCGCATCTTTGGAAAAGGAGCTTAAGTTGGTGTGGCGCAATGCAATGGTTACGAATGCCGGGCTGGGACTGGGGAGATCTGGCTCCCAGCCCTTGCTCAGCCACGGGGCTCCCTGGGTCACTCTGAGCCGCTTGCCGACCCTCCGCTTGCCACAAGAATCCCACTGAGAGGAAGGGAACCTTGCAGGCTGCCTTGGGCTCCGTGCAAAAGGATGGACAGTCATCACCACAAGAGCAGTGGGAGAGCCAGGAGCACCTCCCAGTGAGCATGGTGTACTGGTTCATTGGTGCAGGGGCGAGGAGAATGGAAACATTGCTGGGGGTGGGGATGGATTGAGTTATCCTGGGAAAGGGCGGGCGGGCTGGCTGGCACCCTGTGCAGGAGCAGTCCACATTGCAACTTGCTGCTGAAGATCCCACTCTTAGGCACCACCTGAAATTGCAGGTTTTGCAGGTACAACACTCATAGCCGCTATTTACCCAGGGGCGCAAAACCTGAGACCCAGGACCCTAACTGGGAACTCCAGGGATCCAGGCTGGGAAAGAAAGCCTTCTGCCAGTTGGATCTGGGTCGCAGATGCTCCGGCCCTCTGAGAATCCCCGTCGGACCTCCCAAAACTGACAAGTGGTGGAGATGATGGACTGGACTGGAAGCAGGAAAGGATGCCAGAAGCATCAAAGGTGGACCCAAGGTGGAGTTCTGGTTTAAGACAACAGAATCTCAAACCTGCTTTAACATCAGTGTGAAACAAGATGCGCTTGCAAGTGGAAACTGCTGCTAAAGGCTTGCCAAACCAAACACATTTTAGCGCTGGAATAAGATGCACTTTGGTAGCTCCCTGCCTGTATCCCTCAGGGCATAACAGTCACGCACTCACAGGAAAGGAGAATCCATGCATCTGAGTCAGGGACAGCTGGAAGGGGCACACTTGAACCGAGCAAGCTGAAGCCCCTTTTGCACCATTTCTCTCTCAGTGCTGTGATTAATCCTCTGAAAACACAGGGCATTCACAGGATCAACAAGGTCCGTCTACACCTAGGATTAGGGGAGCAGAATTTGCTCCACAGATTCTGCTCCAGGATTTGCAGGAACTGCACTTCCCCTCTGTCATAGACCTTTGCAGCACTCACTCACAGGAAAGAGAAAACCATGCTTTGAATGGCTCCTCAGACGCTGTAAGAAAAGCTGACTAGCTTATTTGGTATTAATGTGCTATATATTTCCCCCTCAACCATCCTTGTACAATGCAACAGGAAAAAAAATGCTTTCCAACAAAAATTTAAAGAATGAAAACTCAGAGAAATTTTCAAGAGTGGTTGGGGTGTGTGTGTGTGTGTAAGCGCGTGCGCATGTGCAAAAATCCCATCTCTCATTGTCCAAGCATCTCTCTGGCAGTCTTTTAGTTCCCACAACTCAATTAACATCCCAAGGGAACTGTCACGAGGCAACTTGGAAGGCCTTTGGCAGAGCCCTGCTGCATCTGACCAGGGGTCCACCGAGTTCAACCTTCTGCCCACACCAGGACCAACAAGCTGCCAAACGGGAAGCCCACAAGGAGGAGAGGAGCAGCACGGCATTCTCCCACCCATGCTCCCCAGCAACTGGAATACACTGACGTGCCAGCTCTGATCCTGGAGACAGCCTATCACCCCCTGCCCCAGTGGCCATGGCTGCCTCCTCCTCCAGGAAGCTGGCCTTTCCCCGTGGGGTTTGTTTTCTCATTGGGAAGCATGGGGGGGGGGGGGGGGGGGGAGGGTTGTGCATTAGGAAAAAGGGATGGGCGATAGAGAGGAAAAAGAACGAACACTACCAAGCATCCTCAGCTGCCCTGTAGTGATAAAGGAGCTAAAAATACCAGTAAATGACATTCAAAAACATCCCAAAAGACAGAAAAATGGAAGACTTCAGGGAAGAACCTTTGAGGGAAAATTGGCATATAGATTTTGTCACAGAATTACCTTTGCCCCTTTTCCAGAACAAAGGCAAAACTGCCCTCCCCCTGCAACATACACCTGCCCCCTCCCCCCCCCCAACAAGGCATTGAGGAAAGGAATTGTGTAAGATTGTACATTACATACATTTTCCTGCAAACATTTCTGAGACTTCTCGAACCCCTCTTGAAAATGGAAGGCCATTTTGCAAAATTATGCACAGATCTTTTATTATTATGGACAGCTGTCTGCTCACGGAAAGTACACAATACGTTGCAGGAGAAGCCCACCTGCTCTTTGCAGGTGAACCAGCCTGAGGTGCTCCTTCTGGACACACAGCTCTCACACCTCATAGTTCAGCCCAGGACTTCAGCAAGGGGAACTCTAAAATCAGCAGCAACTCTTTTGTCTGAACTCAGATGTGCGAACAACCCATGATTTATCAACCACTAAAAACCCATGAAGAACATCCAGCCTTTATTAGGTTGTGCACTGTGATTGTTCATGGTTCCAACAGAATGATAGCTCACATTTCAACAACAATCCACGGTTTAATGACAACCCACGAGTGTAATTTGCGTTGTCGGAACCCAGTTAATACCTGCTCTGGGAATTAGTTGACCTGGATCAGTGAAGAAGCCTGCATCTGGGCTTCTTTGGGGGTGTGGCTATGGGGGACCGCTCTGCATGCCAAACCTGACCGCTATAACACAGCAAATAAGAATGGCCTGCTGTTGTTTTGTAACTGAGACTTCATTACAAAAAGGCATCGAGCTTCGGAACTCTTGAGGTTGGGCTTAGTGCACCTGTACCAGGATGACATGAGATGACAAGGGCAGAGTTGAACAAAGACGGTCCCTGCTGGCAGATTATGCATTTACCACGCTTTAGAGAGCTCAGCTGTCCCGTTATCAAACTACAGCATAAACCGGATGGCCCCTTGCATTTTGGATCAGAATCAAAGTGCACATGTTGAAAAGACATTGAAAAAGCCAGAGAAAATGAGTTTGCCCCCTTTCAGAAACTTGTATTTCTATTAGCAGATTTACAGTACATATTTACTGCAGTGCTGATCTAATCCTCCAACCATTTAAAGAGTGAACATCTTGCGGGAAAATTTATCATATTTGACTACTGCGCAGATGAAAAATAAGCTAAGCATTCAAAGCCTACTTCATGTAGATGCTAGTTATGAAACAGAAAAGTGGATGAAAACTTGAAATGATCTGACTGGTTTATTTACATAAAGGCCTAGGTTGCCTATGTCTGATCTAAGCCACAGTTTATTGTGCTACCCAGGGTTTCTTTGGCACACAACTGAACAAACCGTGGTTGTTTTCCTCCTCCTCCCTCCTTGCATCCAAAATGTCTTTGTGCTACTGTAGTACTTGGCATGCGGAGTAACAGATTTGACCACCTCCGGAGCCTGATAAAACCACCCACAGGTTTGGGCAAAATGACAATCCATGACTTAAACAGCTCAAAAGTTCACCTACAAACAACAAATACGGATTTTCTTTCTGAATTGTTTGTACTTAATTGTTCATTAACACAGCTAGATTCATACCTCGCACAACAAAGCCGGAATGCAACGACCCAAAACATGGGTTCATATTATGTGTAAACCGGGTCAAACCAATAGTATGAGAATATTGTTTTGAAGCACACAAAACAGCAATACAGCCAACAACTCTATAATGTTCGATGGATGTGAGAATATGGGAAAATGGTAAAGGGAACTGCTTATTATTTAGAAAGCACTGTCTCCCCCCAGCCCTGCAGTTCAAAAGAGTAAAGCATATTGCAAAAACAACTTCTTTACTTGAGGTTTTTGGTTTTTTTTTTAACCTTTAAAAAACTGTTGATGCCAGTTTATTTACAGTTAGGGTATTACAGAGCAGAAGTAACAGACCAAAATATTTCTGAAAATATGAACAATGGTAACACTCGGCGGTACAATCCCAGTTTGTCCCGTGCTCTACAAGGGGGAACCAGCTGCTTGGTTCACGTTTCTCCTTCCAGATTTCTGGATGCCAGACTGTGGGCAGGAAGGCGAGGGAATAACAAGAGCCGGATACAAAAAGCAGAGGCCAAGCAGAGACCCATCTCAAGAAGCAGCCCAAATCTTGGTGCGTGCAGAAAACTGCACTCGTAACAAACCGAGGAAAGCGATTTTAAAAATCGGCTGCACAACACGCCTTCTGTTCCATGCCCATTACTCCATTTCCCACAAGGCACCTGCAGAGGGCTGGCATTAAGCGAAAGGAAAAAGGAAGAGGACCCCATTGCAACGAGAGAGAGATTTATGGACTGTATGTTAGGTTGGACTTTTTTTATTTAAAGAGACTCTTTTATATATTTGAAGCAGAGAAACCAGTATTTCTCCAGCAGCAAAAGGCCTCAGAATGTGGGCAAAGAAAGAAGCAAAACCACATTGTCAACTTAAATCTTTGGGCTAAAGCCGGAGTGACGATGGACTCGCTCACGTGTTTTGTTTTGTTTTGTGTGTGCCTGGCCACTGATCGCCGAGGCCTAACCGGCACCCACATGGGCCGGGTCCATTACACGATACCTGCTTACATGTCATGAGGTGGGGCAAACAATTTAGCTGTGGCCTCTGTCTTTATGACTCTAAAAATAAATTTCTTTATGCTATACAAATATACATGGCTTCTGACATTTACAGAGTGTGTGTTCTTTTAAGCAAAGAGGTCTGTTGCACTAGGAGCATCCGCCTAACATACTGGTCTAAAATCCCTCAGAGCTGGCCTTGCAGTCCAGAAATAAGACGCCCACTGTAACTAGTGGGGTCTTGCAACGTACCGGGGGGGGGGGGGGGACACACCACATGGCTAGTAGTTGGTCCGCCGCCGCTTGATATCCAGGGGACTCTGGTTCTCCAGAAACTCCGAGGGCCTCCTGAGCCTGGGGTGATAGTCCTGGGCTTGTCCCCACTCGGTGGGGCTTCGCGGGTCCCCGCTGCCCAAAGTCTCTGCCTTGTCAGGGACTCGCCAGTCATGCTCTTGGGCTTTGTGAGGCCTGGCGCAGGAAGGAATTCCCGGTGGATGCACCCTTGGGGCAGAGTGGCCAGGCGTTTCCGTCCTGGAAGCTGGCTCCTGCATGGCATTGCTCCAACTCCTTTGAGCCCCGGGGCTGCCAGGGCCCTGTGGCAGCACTGCTCCCGAGCTGCTGGAGGGTGAGCAACGAACGTCCCTGCAAGCCCGGAGATCCATGGCTGCCTCTGCCCTCTGGGCCAGTCGGGGGTCCCGCGGTGTCTCCACAGGAGGCGTGGCTTGTGCACACAGCTTCCGGGAGGAGTGCTCCTGAGGTCCAGAGGGAGGCGGAGGCGCACAGCTCCCCCTGCTGGGAGCACCAGCACTGGCTGGGGGGCGCTGGGGGTCTCGGCTTGAGGCTTCACTCTGCTCAGCCCTGCCCATGCCCGTTTGGCCTTGCGTGGCTCTCTCTGGCACCGCAGCTCCAGGGCGGGGAAGCAGCCTGGCCTTCAGGATCCTCAGAGCACAGCTTTTGTACTTGTGGCTGGGCACCGGGATGATGCTCCCCCTTTTCCGCGCATCCTGAATCAACTCATTCCAATCATGGTTCTCCTGTGAAGGACAAAAGCGATCAGAGCAGGCATTGCAGTGGTACAGGCAGGGGCACGTGCTTTGACTCATAGGAGTGGTTTGCGAGCTACGTTAAGCACATTAATGAGCAGTATATTAAAGTTTAATCTAGTGCCTCAATGCAGAGCCCAGGGCGGCACGTTCAGACTCCCCGTCCCTCCCAGGCAAGGGCAGGCAACACCTTTTCTGCTGAGGACCGCATCCCTGGAGCGGTGATCTGCCTGGGGGCTCAGCCCAAAGAGGGCGGGGCAGCCCTTCTCTCTTCCTACCTCCTCCTCCAAGCAGCTGCCAGAGCGCCAAACTGAGGGCACGCAAAAGGCTTTTGACATCAGCCTACAGGCTGCAAGCCGCCCCCTGCAAGGCCATATCAATTAATCCTAAATATTAGCACCCATAATGGGCCTCGGATGTGCCTCACTTTGAGAGAGGGATCCCCCAACTCTCACTGAGAAAGAATGGCTTGTGCATACACAGAGGGTCTCTGTCAGAGCCTCTCTGTCAAGCATAAGAATTCTTCTCAGTGCAGCTGTGCAGGCGCCGGTGCGGGAAGCACTTTTATGATGCTGGGGAGAACACAACTGCCCCTTCCACACCCAGCCGCAACCATCTGTTGGAACTGGGTGCCCTCTAGCGGCCACACCAGCACAGAATGAAAGAGCAGAACTCCAGAGAGCCCCAAGCCTGGCTTATTGCGGACGGGTGGCGCCCTGGTGCCCTCGGCCAATCCATTCCCATCCTGCTCCTCCCCACTCGCACAGCTGCGGAACAAACCAGGAAGGATTTACAGAGTGCACTGAATCACAGCCTGCCACTGAAAATGCTGCTCATTATTCTGGCTTGCAAGACAATACCTGGAGGAGCTGCTAAGCAAGCTCTTCCTGGTGCGTTTAGCCACTATGGTCTCCTTACGGGAGAAGGAAAGCAGGAGCAGGGGCCAGGCGTGCCCCAGGGGGCAGCTCACTCGCAATGGGGCAAAGTGCTTGGGAAGCCTGGCTAATCGCCCTCCCCGAGTGCCATAATGCAAGGCCGGGCTCAGGCAAGCAGTTCCGCATGACTTCCAGATTGTCCCATGCCAGCTCTCCATTATGCATTCCCACGCAAACCAGCCCCAACAAGAGGATTGTGCTCACCTCCATACCTGAGGTATGGAATTAGGCTGCTGCGGGGGGCGGGCTGGTGCCTTCCCAGAACTCCTCTAAGCCACAGGCATTGGGAATGGGCTCTGTTTTATTGTAAGGCCATCCCGACACCTTGGTTGCGGACAGTGTATAAAAGTTTTAAATAAACAAACATGCAACCAGGTGGCTTTGCATCTTCAGGCACACGGAGTGGTCAGTTGTGAAGCCCGTGGCCTTTCCTTCAGTGCTCGTCCTAACTAGACCTCTGTCTCTGAGACCCTCTGAAGGGTCCCTCTCTCTGTTCTGTCCATGCTATGAAAGAAGCACGCTTTTCCCTACTGGGGCTGAAAGATCCAACCCACCAACAAACCACGGATGCTCTGGTCCTAATCCAGGCATACAAGTTGTTTAAATAAATAAATAAATAAACAAACAAACAAATAAATAAAATGTGGCATCCGTTGATCCCTTATTAATTCATGGGACATCCTCCAATTTCTCTTCCAGACCTGCCAAGTTGCTCACCCCGGCTTGTAGCCTTTCATGAACCGCCTCTGCAGGACTGGATCAAACTAGCCAAGTACTTCCAGCTCTTGCTGTGGTCACTTGTTTCCTCGGAGGGCCTGCGTGACTGAGCGAGGCACCCTATGCTGCTCACAGAGCCTCCTGTGATTTCCTCTGCAATTCAGAGTTAAACCTTCCAAGATTCCTAAAAACTCCATGAGAAAGGCTTGCCCAGCTAAGAGACCACAAGCTTCAAGAAGGGAGAGAAGGCATGTACGCGCGATCCCAGCCGTCTCTGCAGGAAACACGCTGCGCTGCCCAACACTGGCTCTCCAAGTGCACGTTCTAACTACAAGGGCTAGTGCAGGGACTGATGTCCTGCCCCCACAAGCACACCTGTTTCCCCTCCACATACCATTAACGTTTTCAGCTTTCCGAGGATGAAAAGGCTGTGTTTGGCCCGTGTGATTGTGACATTCAGACGCTGAAGGCTTCTCAAAAACCTGAGAGAGAAAGCATTACTAGCCTGACATGCCGTGTGGCGGACCAGAAAAGCAAAGCGTCTTCCCCCAGCCACATACCACGCCTTTCTAAACCCTGAGCATGACTCACATTCTATTCATTCAACCCATTGTGCAGGAATTAGACATGCAGTTAGGGTTGTAGTGCTTTAAAGGCTGCAAGAGTCCCACTGAGGCTTAAGAATTCTGTCCCAGATGCTTCAGAAATCTTGGACAGACCTTCCTCCCAGGACGAAGCGCATTCATTCTCAGCACTCCCTTGTGCCCTCCCAGATCTTGAAACCAGCTGGGTCGCTTGCCTCAACCAGGTACAGGTTGGGCGAAGGTAAAGGGTGTGGAAGGAGGTCGGGAGGAGCCAGAGAAAAGAGCAGCCGACACTTTACTGTCACACTCCTTCTCCAAGTGCTGATCTTTACTCAAGCAAAGGAGCATCAGCCATGCTCCGCTGGGAGATGTTTGAGCAGAGTCCATGACACTGCAAGGTCTGCAGAAGTGCAATGCCTCTTTGGGGGGGGGGAGCACTGGGGGCGGGGGGACCTCCAAATGGCTCAGTCAGCACTGAGCATGCCCAGAGCCCACAGAATCCTGGGTGCTGGAGGTGGAAAAGCAGCAATGAAATGGCATCCTGGGGTCCAGCTGCTTTGAGGACCCCTCAGAAATGGGCGTGGGAACAAGCAGAGCCATCGGGGTGGCGGTCCCTGGAGCTTCAGGACAATATCCTGGAGGGTTGTTTGTGCTCCACGAGCTGGGAAATGCCAGGCTCACTTTCCTGTGAGGTCACTGGTGGGCCTGGGTCCTCCTTTTTAAAGGTGTGGCTCCGGCACTATTGTTGCAATTACAGCGTTTAAAATGGGGCAGAATGCCTGATTATTGAAAATTTTAAAGATAGCATTTGACTGCCTTATAGCTGCTTTCTTTGCTCTAAGTTGCTAGCAGCAAAAGGTACGCAGGGGCTAAATTATCTAAGCCCATCTGCACACCGGCTCTGCAACTGTCTTGCAGCTGCTTTCTGGTCTCTCCTTTACTTGGCTTCCAGCTGAGCCCCCACAGCTCAAAAGGGGGAAGGGGAGGGATGGAAAGCCAGTTTCATTTCATGTGTCAAGACCTTCAGCCTCCTCCTGGCACAACGCGTTAGTAGATTAATATTATTTGTTGTGATTCATGTGAAACCGCTCTCTTTAATATTTCAAAACAGTGCCTGAATATTTTATTCATTTCAAAGGTGACTTGCAAAACAGAAATGTCCTGTTAGCGCAGCTGCGACCTTTTTTCTCCTTCTCGAAAAAAACAAACCTGCACAGAAACTTTAGAAAACAATTTTCCAAGCCAGTCTGCTGGGTTTCTGCCCACCAGGTCTGCGGGGATCACAGTTAAAAAGCACTGACTCCAGCTGTGCCTGGACCGCCACAGTCTGGAGATGGTTGGAGCAGCCAGGACTCAATCCCCTCACCTGCTCCCCCCATGTGACTGTTTGAGCCCCCCGGGATGGAAGGAGAAGCAGAACTGCCCAGAACAGGGGAGGGGCCTGCTGCCCCACCGCAGCGCCCCTGCTATGCAACGCAGAAGGGAGGAGGTGCGATCCCGGCATCTCCAGGCAGGACCAGAAAGAGCGAGGGTCGGACCCTGCAGCCGGGAGCATCCTAGGTTCCGAGGAGCCTCAGCCAGCTGCTCAGAGCCAGGCGCCGCAAGCCCCAACCCCTTCAGCCTGGTGACTAGCTCTCCAGAGGCAATCCACTAGGGTGGGTCTCTCTCCGAGTGTCCCAGCGAGCAGAGGTGAGTCAGTTCAGTTACCCTGAGGGGGCGGCTTCCGGGGAGACTCAGCCTTGCAGAAAGGCATTATCATCAAGGGCGTCAAACCTCTTTCAGCCCGAGGGCCAAGGTGCTCTTTGGCACGGCCCCTCTGGGCCCAGTTCCCTGTGGCGAAGGCAGGCTCAGCCTCTTAGCTCCCAGCAGTCGTGCTCTGGAGAGGTGGAGGCAGGCTGGCTCCAAAGTGCCAAGGCTTCCGTGCGCCTTCCCCACCTGCAGCACTCCGGCCTGTGACTGCTTCCACCCCCAGCTAATTTTCTGGAAAGGCAGGAGGTGCGGGGACTGGCTTAGACCTTCTCCTGCCCTGCCCCTCCCACACCTGGCTCCGCGGCCTGACGTGCCTGTCCCGAGGCCCCCCCCCTTTGTCAAATAGGAGTTGAGTATAGGGGTGACATTTGGGGACACGGAAGCAGCTCCCACTGGCGTGGCCTGCCACCACAGCTTAGGGAGCTGCCCTCATGCAGGGAATGCCACAGTGGGGCATAGGGCATGGACACATCCAACTGGTTTCAGTCCACCCTGAAACCTGGCCGGAGACCCTCAAGTGTGGCCATCCTGAGGACTGGAACTCTGCCAAGGCAGAGGCCCGTGTGACGCTCCGGCTCCAAGAGCGCGCAGCCCTACCCGATGGATCCCTGCGTGCTGTTGGCACGGACGCAGGTCACGATGACGCAGTCCTTCTCGCGGCCCTGGAAACCATCCACTGTATCGACTTCCCCGAAGCTGAAAAGGAAGGGGCGAGCCGTCTTCAGATGCCCTTTCTCTTGCGCCACGCCCACCCACAACAGAGAGAGGAAGGCTTGTTCTCCTGTGAACTGCTAGGCCATTCTGCTCTCCCAGAAGGGTGGGGAATGGGAGCAAGGTGGTTTAGTGAGATCGCATGTGCCTCTAGGCCTCCTGGGGAGTTCTTGGTGGGCTCTGACAGACCCATCTCTGCTTACTCTGAGTAGAACAGGAATGGCAGACAGAGCAGGATCAGGCCCAATTAAATCTGAGGGACTTCAGTCCGACACAATTAGCTAGCCAGCTCTGAATGTCATGAAAGGGGCAGTCCAGCAGGCTGCACCCATGATGCAGATGACCCTCCTCCAAACAGACGCCTCCAGTGCGGAGGGAGAGAAGCAGCCCTCCCCGCATGTGCACCTCACCCTTGCAGCAGCTTTTGTCCTTTTGGCAGGGAAGGAGAGGGGACTGGTGCACCCCAGGAGGTGCCAGGGCCGCCCTCCCCCCCACCCCAGAACAAGTTCCTTCCCTTGGAGAGGCGGCCAGCAAGGCTCCCTCTGTGCCCGTCCTGGCAGGGAGGGACTGGAGCATGAACTCATGGACTCCCTGCTGAGATGCCAGAGCACCGTTTCTGGTCTCCACCGGAATCCACTCAACCCTGGGGCTTCGACAGATCCCACGGGACTGCCCTCTGAGTCTGACCCAATCCCTGCGCATTTTACACATGAGGGACGCGCGCTTTTGCCTTCAAAAGGCTCGTTCGACTGAGGGGGACAGTGGGCAACTCTGCAGACTCCATTTCTGACAAATACCAGGGGAAAAGGACGCAGGCTGGGGAGGACGATCCTAAGGTCAGACCAGGACATCCAAGGCATTTTGTATGCGAAGGGGACGAGTGCAACGCTCCGTCCTCCTCCTCCTCCTGCCCTTGCTGTCTCCTAATGTTAGCGCTAATCCTGGACTGGGCGAGGAGGAGGAGAAGAGAAGGCCGGCCTGTCATCCCTTTGAGGGCAAACGCAGAAAGCTTACTAATGGGCAACAACCCTGCGCCAAGTCTGCAGCCACTAATTTAACTTGAACCCCTGCTGACAGGAAATCAAGGGACCCAATTAAAGGGACTGCATCCCATTCAAGGAACATGGATCCTTCCTCCCCCTCCTCACCTATTTTCTCTAAACTCTGCATCCAGCTGCTTCTGGATTCTCCTCTTCTGTGCACTGTACGGGGTGATGATGCCGATGTTGCGACCGATGCTGCTCCGCCTTTCCCTAATGAGCTTCAGCAATTCTATCACCAGCTTTATTTCCTGGGGATTCACATAGGACCTGAACAAGAGAGAAACGGGAAGGGGCGGGAGGGAGAAGGGTGAGCAGCGCCCAGGTGGGGCCTCACCGCATTATGGATCACGAGCCCTTAACTCGCGCAGAGATTGCAGAGCAGACTGTAAGGTTGGAACGCCTTTCCAGAGGCTCCGTTACTGACAGCGAGAGCCTTTTCAAAAGGCTGGTGCCCTGCCCAAGCCCCGTTTTACTGTCAGCTCCACCCAGTGCTGGAATGCAGCCCCAAGACCTTCTCTGGCAGGATCCAGGAATAGATTAGAGGGCCTGGGAGAGCCTGTTCTTTCACACCCACCAGGACCTGGAGCGTGTCTGGCAAGAACCCCGGTGAGGGCCTGCGCGGGGGCTCTGGGGCTTCTCTGCCGCGGGGGCACCGCTCACCCAGGTCTGGTGGCCTCCCACAAGCCGTCTCTACTCATGAGGCTCTTTGAGCCGCCAACTGGTATTCCGGCTACTGTCAATACACGGCTGTTTGTTCAACGGGTTGCTTTTCTTAGTTTGACCGATTTTTTGAGATGGTTTTATCTACTGCGGTTAGGAGAGGCCTGCCGCTTTTTTGCACTCTGGCACTGTTGCGTTGCCCTGAAGAGCTGTGTCAAATTCAGCAGATAGAAACAAAAGGACTTACCCATTGTCCCGCTCTTCCCTGCCATCCAACACGTCGAAGAGCAAGTATGGTTGGAAAGGCCAATCTAAGGAGAATCGGGACACCTCTGTTTGCCTAGGACATCAGGAGAATTGTCACAACGAAAGCTGCACACAAAGCTGGCCAAAATAGAGATAGAAACTGTGTGCTAAGGGAGAGCTTTGCGCCCCGAGAGGAAGCACGATGATCCAAATAGCCATCAGGACAGCTGAATCCTGCTGACTGAAAAGGGAAAGGCACAAGTGCCTATTTTTAAAGAAAAAATAATAATATTCCCTTTTTTTAAAAAAGCTTCTCCTGGCAGCGAGATCCTGCTTGCAAGCTGCTCCCCTGCGCAGCTGCTTTCCTTGCAAGGTGGCCACAGTTTTGGTGTGGCCCTGAGTGATCCAAGGAACTGCAGCCCTGAACCCCCAGAGGTTGCCCACCCCTGGACCCATATTCGCCCTTCTCCTTTACACCATACTGTCTCCTAACTCTGGATTATTTGGAAACACAAGACAGATCAAATGCATCTTTGCAAGTATAATGCAAACATTTAGTTCTGAGCACATTTAGCGGTGGTGTGGTGTGAGGCCCTTGATGCCAAAAACAACTTTGCAGTGCCAGAATACAGACAACAGTGTGTTGCAGGTGCCACATGCTACAAATCTATAATAAGGGTGAGCAGAAAGATGATCTCCAGATGTTCTGGGCTTCAGACCTCAGCATCCCTGATCACTGACTGTGCTGTCAGGAGTTTCTGGAAAGCGGACCCCAAAACTTCTGGATGTTTGCCTTTTTGCCCATCCGTGTTCTAAACAGCATGGCAGGATGAAGTAATGGGTACAGAACCTAATTCCTAGAAATCCCAGCGTTCATTTAAAAATGCTTCCAGCCTGTAGGAATGGAAAGATGTGCTTGAGAGTGAGTGACCAAGTCGTCTGCAGCAACTAGAAGGGGACACTGGATAAAGGTTCCAGAAGCAGAAGAGATTTTCTTGCTCCACTTCTGACTGCATTATAAAAATGCAAGTGGCCAGAAAGCTCTAAACTTGCAAATACTTCACAACTCATGTGCATCGTTTATCCATGTGCGATCCCTTCCTGGCCCAGAATTCAGAATGCCTAAGCACAGGATTCTCTGCCACCTCAGTCGGACATGCACACATCTTCCGCCATGAACTAAGCGGGAGCGGAAAGCCAGGGGGAAACGTCCTGGCAGGACACGGTTCCAACAAGGCATCTGCTGCCTTCTCCGGAAAGGCCTGTCCGGCGTGGGACGAAAGGGTGGCCACGCACCTGTCCGTCTTCAAGGCGTGGTCATAGATGTACTTGGAAGGGAAGAGGCAGATCTCCGGGTGCATCCTGTACTGGATCGTCAACTGCAGAACGGGCGGGGTCCCGCTCTGGCCCTCCTGCAGCTGCTCCTTCTGGTGCCTCCACAGCCGGCCCATCAGAGACTGGTGGTAATCGTACTCCTGCGCCTTCTGCCACCGGGGGAACAAGTGGGGAAATGAGACAGGGCGGGGGGGCGGGCAGAGGCACTCCCCCCAAGAGTGGTTGGCACTCCCCGTGCGCCGCTCACGTCCCCCACGCATCGTCAGGCGGCGACTGCCACCCCACCTGGAAAGCCACGCCAGAAGCTGCATGAGCTTCGCAGACTGGGAAGTGGGACCAGCCCCCCAGCAGCCTGCTTCTGGGGCACTGGGTGAGCCCCTGGCAGAGAAGAGATTCCCAACAGGCCGAGAAAGCAACTCGGGCTTTCGTCGGAGTGGCCAGAGAAGGCGCTCCTCCAAAAAAAAAGTGAAACAAAATCAATCCATTGCCGGATCCTGGTTAAGAGGCCGAGGGTGTGCGCACCTTCCCCTTGGCATCTCCCACAAGTGCAGAAGGCAGGAGGGGAAAGGTGGACCCTCTCAGGCCATTCGTGGGGGAGGCATAGGGTGCTGTGGCCATGTGTGGTCTCCAGGGGAGGAGCACGAGCAGGAGGGAGCCTCTCGACGCTGCCCTTCGACGCTGCCTGTGAGTTTCCCGGAAACTCCTGCCTGCCTACTTTGGCGGAAGTGTGGCCACTGGCTTGTGGGTCTCTTAGTGGGACACCCAGTTGACTACTGTGGGAAAAGAACACCGGACAAGGGAGCCCTGGTCAGCTCCAGCAGGGCCCCACTTATGTTCCTGGATCACGTAACTGGAACGGAGGCCCTTCTGTGGTTGCCTGGGGTCGCACTTGCTCGTAACAAAGAGAGGAATGGGGTGCAGAGTGGTTCCTGAAATACTGTTACATGCAGGCGAGCTGTTCCCGTGTGATGAGACGGAGACCGCAAAGGAAGACAGCATTTCAATGCACCACTCCGCAAGAGCGGGACCAGCTTTGCTGCTGTGTGCGTTGCCCCTGAATAACGTCCGGCAGGCCTTGGGCGGACTATTATTTTACACTAAAATTGTGTAAAGTAATTCCATGAAGAACGGGAGTATCTGTTCTTCCCCACCCGCCATCTCCCCAAGCACTCAATATCCAATTTCTCTGGCGAAAAGGACTGCAGTCTCCCGACGTGGTGGTGAAGTGGGCTGAAACGTTCAGGCCTGTGCGGTTAATCTGATCAGGCAAATAGTCCCGTCACAGTCACGGAAGCCGTAGACAGGCCGTTAGGATCAGATTAAAAACATTCCATTTTATTGTGGCAAAGCAGAGATACTCATAGCCTGTAAACCAGCCCTGAGCGCTCTCCGCTGCACAAGCTCATCTCTTCCGGATGACCCAGAAGTCCGCCGTTGGGAGTACTTACCATGGATTTCACAGTGGGCGGCAGCTGCTTGAGGTCTCCAACAAGGACCAACTTCTTGCAGCCGTGAATGAGCGGGATGAGGGTTTCAACCTCGCAGCTCTGCCCTGCCTGTGGACGAGGAAGCACCAAGGTAAGCACAAGAGAGAGGGCGCCGCTCTCGCAGGCGGGCTGCAACAAAGGCTCTCGCTGCAATCTGGCCTGTACTGGGAGTGAGGAGCTTGGAAGACAGCCCCCCGCCCACCACCAAAGCTCGCGCCTGCCCACCGAGGCCCTGGAGCCCGGTTTGGCGGTGGGAAGCCTGCACAGAAGGGGGCACGGAGGGCTATGGGTACAGCCACAACCGGGAGGAACCACCAGGATCTCTGGATCAAAACTGCAGGAGGCGAGCCCCTCGGGATGCCCAGGCTCCACCCCCCCCGCAAAAGGAACTGCCAGGTCCTCAGTATTATTTCAGCCACCCCTCTGACTCCCCCAATCCCATTTTCCCCCAAATATATATTGCTGAGCCACAGCTTAGTTCAATTTAAGCATTAAGCCACTGGCTTCGTGAGCAAATGCCTAGAACAACAGACTCCTGAACAGCAAAGCAGAGGGACCGAGAGCTTATTTGGCTGAAACTTGAAAAATGCCACTAAACAGTATGTTCTGCTCCCTGCGCAGATACGACTGGGCAAGCACTCAAGCCAAGGGGAACTCATTTCCCACCTCCCTCATTTATATTCCCAGTACACTGTGAAGGTAATGAAACATACTGTTAAGTTGCTCTTGCTTTATCAGGGGCTGGGAAATATGTCAGTTTGCTAAATGGTGTGACGGGGCAGGCTATTTAGACCATGACTGACTACCTTCAACTGATGGGTCACATTTATAACGAAGGTCGTTAATCTAAGCACCCGGCTGTCAGGCAAAAGGGCTGCTTGACAACATAGGGCTATTAATTTCATACGCTGTTCTTAGAAAGGTATTAATAGTGTTCTGGAACAGGGCGCTAGCTCAGCCTCTGTCAAGGCCTGAGCTCCACGCTCAGGCATCCGTGAGAGACGGTCTCCGCTCGAAGCACTGGGAAACGCTCAGCATCAACAGCGCTGGGAGGGAGGCGCTGCTGATGTGACCACAAAAGGGGCAGCTTCCCTCCCTGGCAGGAGGCGGCTCAGCGATGGGGTCGCTCACTGGGGTGCCAGCATACGGAGAACCAGCATAGCACAGAGGCCGCGGGGAGAAGCGTCTCTGCTCTGGCCTGTGGCTGGGGTGGACCAAGCAGGTTGCCTGCAAGGGCTGAGTGGTTTGCAGCCACAGGAGCCGCTTGCCCAAGATGTTCCCTAGACCTGGGGCCTGCAACATGGCCCCCATGGACACCAAGCGGCCTCTGCAGACGCTTCTCCTATGCCCAGCGGGCTCCCAGTCCCTCCTCGTTTTTCAAAAGAAACTGAGTATTTTTAACTGGGAGGATGGCGGGACGCCACTCCAGCACCGCCTTTCTCCGTGCTTTGGTACGCAGACCCCCCACCAAAGGCCAAGTTACTTTCCTCTTCACCTCACCAGCTTCCCTTCTAAACAACAAGAGTTCTCTAATCAGTCATGCCAGCCACAGCTGCTGGTTTTTGAATGGACAAGCCATTTGGTGAGAGAACCTGCATTCCAAGTGCACCAACTGACCTCGGAAACTCCCACCTGAAGGACCACCTTCCCAAGTCAGCCCTGCTCTGCACGTGCCTCCCGATTCCTCGTTTGATGCATTTTGGCACCCTTTGTAGAGGCCAAGGGCCTGAGGGATGGGGAACCATGGAGGGAACAGCCTTTGGTGCCTGCCCGAGAAATGAAGGCCGATGGGGGCTTCAGTGGGCCCCTCCTGCAGCCTCCGCACTCCTCCGACTTGCATGGAGGCTGCCCGGGACACCCCAACCTGTCCCGCAAGGCTGGCACCCCACTGACCTCATCCACGATGACGCAGCTGACAGGGTCACTGCCCTGCCTCCGGAAAGTGGTCTCCAGCAGCGCTATACCACTGGTGCTCAGCGTGCAACAGATGATGTGAGACGCCAAGATGATTTTCGCTTGCATTTCCTGGGAGACGTGGCGAATCTGGGAACACAAGAGCAGGGACGTCTTTTGAAACAACACCTGTCTGCAGGGGGGATCTCTCCCCCGCCCCACCACTTCTTCCTCCTTTGATCGTGCAACAGTGGCTAAGGCCACGCCACTTGCTTGCAGCTGGCAAAGCAAGCCCATGTTCAGTGCATGCTTAAAAAATGAGGAACACCTGGCTCGATCCAAGCCCATCACGGTTCCCCAAACACGGGAGAGATGTCCTTTGCTCCCAAGCAGGTCTTTGCAAATTCTCCACTGGAACAGGGCTGGAGCAGGCTGCCACTGCTCGCAGAAACCAGAGGTCCCAGGGTGCGAGCAGATCGCTCTGAATGGGAGCAAAGCCCGACCAGCTCGGCCCGCATCAAGCCCATGACCATCCTTGGATTCTTCTGTCCAAACCATGAGACGGGTTTCTCGCCTCCCCTTCCTGGCCAAAGTGGTGTGGCAGGCCTGGCTGTCCGGAGTTCTGTTGCCCGCGAGGGGCTTTTGGACCCCCAGCAGCCCCGGCCGGTATTGCCACTGCACCGGCAACCTTTTCTCTATTCAGGACGTCACGACTTGCTACGCCGTGTACTAAGGGAGTACAGCAGATCTTGCATGCATCTGATGGAGCCCTTCAGGCAGCCTGGGTACCACGTGCTCAGCAGCACCGTGGGACACCGAGGCCGAAGGGTTGAGTTCGGACTGCAGCGGGTCAGGTTTTCGTCTCCGCTTGGCAGAATGTGAGGGAGCCAAAGTGGCTCGGTGGCGAGAAGCAGTGGGGAACCTGAGCGGGGCTCTACTCGACAGTCCCCCATTTCCAAATGTACCCAGCTCTAATCAGTCAGATGCCTGAGGAATGGAAGGGAGCTTAAGAGGGGCTATTTTAACAGTCCCACGGAAAATCACACCATACCTCCTTCAGCTGAGAAGCAAGCCTCTCTCTCTCTTTGGAAAGCCTGGTGATTTTTTCATCTAACTGTTGTTTCTGAGAAAAGAAGAGAAGTCTTTGCAGAAACAAGAATAAACAATGTGTGCTTGGTTTAAAAACAACTGAGAAATTCTGTAGAGACCCCTGAACTTTCAGAAGGGAGGCTGCTGGGCAGCAGGTCCTTATCCACCAGTGCCCAGTGTCACAGACAGAGGCTGTGCCCAGTCACAGCCCCCAAACTCCAGCCCTTCCTTGCAAGCCAGCCATGAGTTCTGCCACCTGGCCATAGTCCCTCCTCTACACCTCCAGGCCTGTGGAGCCAGAGAGGCAGAAGGATCACGAGCTGCAGAGGGGCAACTGCCCAGCACCATGAAATGGGGAGCAGCAGCTGCTGGGGAACATGGGTGGAAAGGTGCTGTCACACTCATGCCTCGCTTATGAGCGCCTTGTCGGCAGCTAACAAGGAAACATAGCATAGTTAGCCTGGCACTTGGGGTCTGCAAAGCTTACTGGCAGGCTTCTGGCCAGGCATCAGCTCTCAGCCTACCCTACCTCACAGGGTTGTTGTGAGAATAAAATGGAGAAAATGACAAAAACCTTGCAGGAATAAAGACAGTGTATAAAAATAGCAGATGAATACATACAAAGCAAGGGTGGGGCTGAGCCCTGAGTTACGGAAGGCAAACTCTCTTCCCCAAGCTTCATGGACAGTCAACCCATTCCCTCATCTGTCTGTCTGTGTTTTTCTGGAGTGCCACCTCTATTATTCACTCTCAGCCTGGCTCATACTTCCTTCTCGCACACACTCAGCCAACTTGGAGGGCCTCAAGAAAGGGGCTGGAGAGCCCCAAATGCCTCTCCCTTTGGCTACCCCTGTGGCCCAGTTAAAACACATGGATCTTGGCCCTCTAAGTCCTATTCACTGGTCCAGATTTGCTCATGTGCAATGCAGAAGAGGGAGGGAGCGCATCTCAACTGGAAAAGCATGCTCCAACCTGAAAGCACAAACCAGGATAGCAAATGCTGGTAAGATATCCTGGCTGGCGGTCAGAGATTAAGCCACAGTTTCCTGCTTTGGATGTCAAGGGAAATCTTTAACACACCCTGCAAGCTTTGTACTGCGGCACATGAGTCGGCCGGCAGAGTGGCACCTGCAGCGCTTCTGCAACGAATCTGCTTACAGTTCTGTCCCTGCCAAAAAAGCCCTTCTTAGTTTCGTCACCCTAATTTTGGGAGACAGCCTTTCTGCTGATCCAGCCTTTTGCGAATCACCCGATGCCTCAACGCATCCCACCTACTTTCTGCACACCCCTGCAGTAAACTGGGAAGGAAGACCCACCTTCTCCGCCTCGCCTCTGTTCATTGCACGCTGGCGGGAGAGCATGTCCAGCTGGCGATCGAGGTCGGCCTTCCTCCTTTGGAGGTCTTGGTCTTTGCCAGGTGCCGTTTTATCTACAGAATCAAACAGAACATTTTTCCTTAGTCCTCTGGGTTGCCCTACTGTGTGCATAACCCAGGAGGAGAATCAGCACTGCGCTGGAAACTTTGGGTTGCTTAAACCACATGCTGCTGCTCTGTGGGAACAAAGGCCATTACATCCTTAGAGGAGAAAACGGAACTACGCATTCCAAAACCACGGGTGTACTTCCGCGTCTGTCCGAAAACCAACACGTCGCACAATGACACAACACAAGCGACTCTGCCTACTCAGAGCATGTGCAACTGGGACGACCTTTTAGAAAGCAGGCACAGTGTGGCGCAGGATGCTCACCGTGTAGCCGGGGCCACATTCCAGCTGGGGCCCGGGCGGGCAAGGCATTTTCCTAACACGAAGGCAACCTACATGGGAAATGGGGCAGGCACGCGCTCCCTCCTGCCTCTCTTGTGCTGGAATGCAACACTTCTGGGGCTCAGAAGGGGAGCGCTCCCCCTTGCATCTAACCTGTGGTCTGAAGCCTGCAGATCCAACTCTTTAAGCATGCAGTTCTTAAAAGGTTTGCTGGGGCATGCCTGGAAACAGCAAAGCCTTTTTCTGTCTGAACTTGCATGCAATCACAGGGAACTTTAAGATTACTTGCCTGCTGATCTGTTTCTTGCCTGTGTTTCTTGTTGCTAGGAATATACAGTTCTTATTGACTGCGTGACGCTTCTTCATTTAGCACATCTGTAAGAGTTTGTTTTGTAACGAGTTCTCCAAAAAGGCAGGGTCTAAGGATACGTACTTCATCTCCAGCTACAGACAGTAACATAAAACCAGGAGGTGATCCTAGTTTAATATCCTAGTTTGTAAACTGTGACCGAGCCAGATTCACCCGGTGTAATGGACTTAATGAAATCATAAATACTGAACTGCAGTGCGAGGAGGAAAGGGGAAGGAAGCATTCGGGAAGAAAGGCTTATTTTTCCTCTCATGAAAGAGCAGATATTAAGACCAGGATTGCCATGTCTGAACTGCCCCAGGAAGTGCAAATCACTTGGAAGAACCGGGGCCTCCAATAGCAGAAGCGGGAAGCAGGCCTCCTGTGCCTGCGGTGAACCAACTTCCAAGCGTTAAGCTTCCTTCTGCAGGCTGCCTAGTCCTCGGAGGCCCCACATGCCGGGGGAAGGGGGGAGGCGCAGTGGGACTGCAAGGCCTGGGTCCGCCTCTTCCATCCCTGCAGCCATGTTTTCCCACTCGTGTGTGGAGGAGGCACCAGAGCCACAGGCTGTGGCAATGCAGGACGGATGCTTACAACGACTCCATCCAAAGACTAACCAAAGGCCTTTTGAGAAACCTCTTCACAAGCAACTCACTTATTCTGCGGTCGACCTGGTCATCCAGGCTGAATTTCCGGACATCCTTGCAGATCGACATTTGCTGCCCCAGTCTCAGCAAGTTGATGTCCCCGCAGTTCCCTAAATGCAAAGCAGAGCCCTGTTAGTTGCACCAAGGCCTTTAAACACAGAATATTTTAACCAGCTTGGCAAATCCTGAAATTGGCACCTTGTCCATCCTCTATTATTTCTGCAGTAGCTCTCCAAGGCTGTCTCGCCTTCGGTGCAAATGCTCTCAAGGTCAGCGTTCCACTACCAATATAAAACCACGCAATACAAGACTAAGGCTAAACTTTTCCCAGCTCTCAGTGAAAGGTAAAAGCCCGCAAGCCAGCAGGCAAGAGCCACTGTGGTCTCCAACCTTTTCATGTTGGGGGACATGCTCGGGATTTCAAGAGTGCCGTGACAGCTCACAAAACCAAAACCAAAACCAAAACCAAAACCAAAACCAAAACCAGGGATGTGGTTTGCCCATTCTTTAAACAGTGGCCCAGCAGGAATGGCCATTCCAATGGCATTGCTTCTCGGAGTGTAAGCTGGTGAGAATGAATGAAAAGTAACATGTCCGAAAGCTTAGGTGCAAGGCAAAGGCAAGGTCTGCACTCCAAAATACCAAAAGACTCTTTAGAACCCACGTGAAAGATGGCTCTGTGGGGAACCTCTTCACACTGCAGCATGCCAGCCTTCCACTAAACACAAACATTAAAAACAATTAAAGCAATAACAATTGTTTCAAAGAAAGAAGTTAGTAGGGGCAGGAAACTTGGTGGGTGCAGCCAGGAGTGGCTACAAGTACCACACTGGAGATCTCACTATGAAAAGGAACTTGGACAGCTCCGTGCATTAAACATACAAGAGTGCAGGCAAGGCTTGGGTGAGAGAAGCTGCGCCAAGCCACGTGTTTGGCATGCTTGGGGTGCAAACACGTGCTCCACTATGGCATGGCCGAGGCTGCTCCACGGGACAGAACCAGGAGCTTCTGCAAAACAAATGCCACAGAAAGCATGAAGAACCTACTGAGCTATGCAGGGGCACCTGACTGATATAACCTATATAATTTCTCATCCTCACTTATAACCGGACTACTTGCTCCTTCTGGGTTGCCACTTCTCCCTCCACCTAACGGCTGGGCAGGAACACATCATACCCAAAGCCTTCTTCATGTCAGGGCATTTTCCTTTAAATTCAAGAATTATTTTCTTCATCAGTTCATCAACGGCGGCATTTGACGGTGCACAAACCAGCACACGATTTTGCTTGTTCTTGGCATTCCAGCTTTGCATGGGAGTCTCCTTCCCAGATCTCTGCAGAATTTAAAAAAAAAAAAAAGATATTTGGGCTGCATTTCAGGACATGTGAGGAATCAAGGGACTGTTAAAGCATTTCTACTTTTAAAGTTGCCGCGTCTTCCTCTTTTGAATTATTCTTACTCCTGTGTCTTTAACAACAGCCTTACAAGCAGAAATGTCAGCGTCAGGATGAGGTTGAGCCGTTGCATGAATTGCGCAAGATCAGCGTGAAGTGCAAAGCATAGCTCTAGGCATCACCTGGCAACATGCCAGGCGGACTGAGAGACCCTCCTTGCTCCATCAGCTGGGGGCAGTGCCCCAGTTGTGGATGGGGTCAGGCAAAAGGAGGAAAATACCAGTAAAGGTCTTAGGTGAAGGATTTTGACAATTCAGAATGCTGAAAGTCTGCACAAATGCCAGAAAAGCCATCAAATGGTGTGCGGTTAGAGAAAGGGGGGGCTGTGGGAGAGGGGCATGTCCATCTAGGGAGGTGGCGGGAAGAACTAGGAGGATTTGACTAACCCCAGGCCGGAGGTTCCTTCTCCCTGCTTTTCTTCATCTTGCAGCATAAATTGCTGCTCTCATCAGTTTGCATTTCTAATTAAATGCTGATGGTTCCATTTCAGTGGCTGACGATCTTGCATAAAAAGTTCAATTTATTTATTTACACTAGATTTATATCCCACTTTTTCTTACAAAGGACTGAAAGCAGCTTACATCATTCTCTTCCTCCTGCTCTCAATCTTATCCCCACAAGAACCCTGTGGGGTAGGTCAGGCTGAGAGTCTGTGATTGGCCCAGAGTTTCCCAGCTGGCTCCATGGCTGAACAGAGACTAGAACCCAGGTTGCCTGAGTCCCAGACCTGTGCTCTTACCCACAACACCACAGCGGCTCTCTCAAAATGGTTACAAAGGCGAACCTACACATTCAGAAGCAAGCTGGTGCTCTCACTCCTAGGTAGCCACACAGGGTGTTGCACTTATGCCGACCCTAATAAACGGGGCACGACGCCATATACAGCTTCTGTCTGGCATCACACTGTTACTACGGGGAGTTCTCGTGCTTCAGAATTTACTACTGTGCCACTAGAAGAAAAGGAAAAGGCAGCGACGCTCTCCTAAAAACCAGGATGAAATGAAAGAGGGGCTCCCTGGGGTGCATCTCTGAAATATGTCAGCACCGTGTGGCAGCAATACATGGAGTGATTTTGCCGTCACTCATCTTTGGTCTTACGTGGACTGGAATACACAGCGATAGCTCACCTCACCAAGGATGCGGCACACTAGTCCAACAATGACCTTCGATTTCCCTGTTCCGGGTGGCCCATGGATCAGGCAAATTTTGGGCAACGATGGATGCTGGGTCACCATTGTGTAAGCAGTTTCAATGGCTTTCCACTGATCTTCATTGTATTCTCCCATGTAAGACGCCTGGGTGGGGACAGGAGGACAACGGAATGGCAGGCACCAGAACAGGGCAGGGCAGTTCTAAGCGACCTGCAGAGGGGCCCTGCTTGAAGCAACACCCAAGACCCTGAGCTTGGGGTCTTCCCTTCATGAGCGCTACCCCCAGCAACAAAAACTCAGGTCCTCTTTTTGCTCTCTTAAGTTGACTTTTCCTAGCAAGGAAGGAATCCGAAGAATACTTAACATGCCCGCAGGAGGAGCCTGGTAGTGCAGAGTCCAACTGAGGGTGCAAACATGCATGTGTGAATCAACCTGCGCAAGCTGCACCGCTTCCTCGCCAAAGGACTAGAGAAAGTTTTGCTGACAAAAAAGGACGCAGGTGCATTGCACCCTCCTCCAACTGGCATTTCTACCCATCTTTGGGTGAACTAGACTCACACACGTTATCCTGCTCATGAGTAGTACAAGACACTCTTCTACGGCCTCGTACTAGACCACACCTCCCACCATCCCCAGCTTTGGGCCACCCTCATCCACACTTCAGTAGGTTCTTACGGATTTCTGACAGTCCATGTTCATGCTGCTTGGACAGAAGTTGCTGTAACTTGGGCTGAGGATGGCATTGATGAGGGGGCTGCGCTTCAGCAAAAGCAAGGCCCGGAACCTGCGCTTCGTAGATGCCAAAGAACTGACCACCACACACTGGACTTGCTGATCAACACGGGACAAGTTTCCTCGGGTCTTTATGGAGAGGTGGCAGGCAACGTGCTGCTGCTTCTTATCTGTTTATCAAAAACACACACATCCCACATGGAGGGACTCGACACAGGTTGCATTTGCACCATGCTCTGCGCGCATCTTACTCTATGTGCTTCAGAGCTGCTTGCTTGCCTGCTTTCAGAGGCTCAGTCCCTCCGACTGGGGCCTCTGAAAACTGCAAGAGCACGAGCTAACCGGAGGATGGCTACGCCCATATTTTTATGTAGGTTTTTTTTTCCTAAACCAACCTACCTTCTGGAACCCGAGAAAACCGAATCACGAGGCCAACGTGGTATACCAGATTGCTCCTCGACTCGCCTTCACGGCGTTTCTCAGACACTCTCAAGAAAACCAGGTCATACTCCTTTGGATACAGCTGTTTATCCAGATCACTTTCCAAAATGGTAACTGGAGAAAGAATTCGAACAGAGAATGGAAAAGCAGATACTGGGGAGCAAGCTATGGTGCAGCTAAAACAAAAAAAAATGGTACGGTTATTAAGCACAGCAAAGGATTCCAAAGTCACATGCATGCGACTTCCTGGGCTGCTAGTTTCACTCCACTATAGAGCTGGCCCAAAGGATTATGCAGCAGGGAAACAAACGCCCCAAAATGGCATTCAAGACCCCAGGTGAATTTTATCCTCCTGAGTACATGGCTCAAGAGATGCATGCACCAGTCGTGAACCTGGGACCCTCCCCTCCCCCCCAGTCCTCCTGTCACTGCTTGTCCCAAATGCAAGTGCATGCAGCTTTCCTACCCACACACACACAATATCACACTGTTAAACTGAGATCAGATTTCTGCGACAGGACTGACAGCTCTAAGTTCAGCTTCAGCAATTTCAGATAAACCGTAAAGGTTTTCTAGTCTCGATGTTGCTGCAGGGAGTTCTACGGGTCCCAAGCTCTTGGTATTTATGGCCCACAGGAGGGCAGATGGGTAAAAGGGCCTGAGCAAGGGAAACGACCCCTTGCCTGCCCTCATCATCTGGCCTTAGTGCAAGCATTAGGGCTATCTATGGCTAGAAACCATACTGTGATTTTACAGACCATAGAGGTAGCCAGAGGCGGAAAGCTTCTTTTCAGTAAAGGGTGAAAAGCTCCCTGAGAGAACTCTTGGGATCCCAATACTGGCTGAAGCCAAAGGCCAGGGAAGTGCCAAATACAAGCATACCGTACCTTAACAAGTGCTGGCCAGCGGTAACTAAGTCTTACAGGAGACATTTCAACAATTCAGAGCAGAGAAGGGATGACACACACACACTGAGACGCCAAAGATGATCAAATGGGGAAGGGCAACAGAGGAGGAGAGCTGGGCTGGGCTTCCGGACTCACACAGTGGACTTGCCTCACCTCTAAACTCAGCTGTCTGCACTTGTGCATTGAAGTCCTGCAAATTCAAGAAGAACGGCTTGGCCTCTTTTGCTTTCTGGTTCTCCTGCCAGTCGCTTGCCACCTGTAGGAAACAGCCAGACGCAGGCTTAACGCACCAGTTGCGGGAAAACGGCAGCACGTGTGTACCGCTCAGATCAGCATGCTGGGTCTCGATGTGCAGCGGGGCCGTGTTCTGCCCGCTCTCCGTCTACCTCTCCCTCTGCCCTGCCCCATCCCCTTGAAAAGCAGAGATGGGGGCTGCTCCCAGGGAGCTGTGCTACCATGAGAATGAGAGACGCCCCATGCCAACTGGGAGGCAGAAGCACTTGCTGTTCTCACACAGTGGGCTTTGGACTTAGGGCATTGAAGCATCAGCAGCTTCTTTCTACATCTTCAGACGCCTGGACCATTCGGCCATGAATTGCCAGCACTGACTGGCAGCCGCAGCAGGATTCTTTCCTAGCCTTACCTGGATGTATCAAGAGCCGAACCTGAGAGCTCTCAGGCAAAGCACGTGCTCCATCAGTCCGCTCAAACACATCCTCTCGCCAAGGCTCTAAGGGAGCACTTCTGAAATGCACCCAGTCCCTGTTAGATCACTGTCCACTAACTGGTTCCATCGCTGAACTGCTCTTACCACCCAGAAGTTTCAAGGGAATTCTACGCTACTGTAACTGATGCATTTGATCTAGTACCAACTTCTGGGACAGAATGTCTTTGCCTGCTCACCTATGACCACTCTTAAGATTGAGGGAAAGTGCTGCATGGCCCCAGTGGCCTAGACATTTCTCTCTGGAATGAACACTGCCGGAGTGCTCATCAAGGGCACCTCCTCAAATTGGATGGAGGTACCTAGTGGGGTGCCTCAGGGCTCAGTCCTGGCCCCGTGCTCTTCAACATCTTTATTAAGAGGATTTAGATGAGGAAGCACCAGGAAAGATCATCAGATTTGCAGATGATACAAAACTGGGTGGAATAGCAAACATCTTAGAAGACAGAACGAAGATCCAGGGCAATCCTGACAAACGAATGCTGGAGTGAAAGCAGCAAAATGAGATTCGATAAGGACAAGTGCCAAGTGCTCCACCCAGGAAAAAGACACCAAATGCATTGCTACAAGATGGAGAATATGTGGCTCAGCAGGACTGAAGACGACCTCGGAGTAACTGTGGACAGCAGGCTAAACATGAGCCAACAATCCGATGCGGCCACAAGAGGGCAAATTCTATTTAGGAATGCAGTGACAGAAGCATTACTTACAAATCACGAGAAGTAGTAGTTCCCCAATACTCCCACTAGTCAGACTTCACCTGGACCTCATCCAATCCTGGACACCAAGATTCAAGAAAGATGCAGAAAAATGGGAAAGGGTCCAGAGAAGGGCGCCAAGAACGATCCAGGGTTTGGAGAGACTGAGAGAACTGGGCATGTGCAGCCCTGAGAAGAGAAGACTGAAGGGGGACATGGTATCACTCTGTAAATACCTCAAAGGCTGTCACAAAGGGGAAGATCAAGATCTCTTCTTGCTGATACTAGAGTGTAGGTCAAGGAATAATCAACTCAAACTGCGACAACCCAGTTTCAGGCTAGATATCAGGAAGAGTTTCCTTACTGTTAGAGCAACATGACAGTGGAACCAGCTGCCTGGAGAGGTGGTGGGCTCTCCCCACACCAGAGACATTCAAAAAGAAGACTGACAGCCAACTGAGTGGGAGGGTGTAAATTGTGTCCTGCAACAGCAGGGCCCTCTTGGTCCCTTCTGACCTGGAAAGGACCAGAACCCCCTCTCCATGAATCTATGATTCCCCACTGAGGCCTGCCTGGGGCCCACCTTGGTGACAAGTAAGACCATCTTCTACTTCACACAGTTTCTGGGGCAAGCTAGCTGCTAACAGGTATGACTATTTCTTCTTTTTAAGTTTTATACACACATGCACACCTGTTTAATATGTGGTTTTACATTTTGTATTGGGAACCTTTAATGATGCTTTAATTTTTTAATACAATGTAACTTTTATTTTGTATGTGCTTTGTGAACCACCCAGAGAGCTTCAGCTGTTGGACAGTACAGAAATTAATTAAACAAGCAAATACATTCCTGACCAAGGACCAACTGAGCTAGTGCAGGCGCCATGTTCTGGAAGCCTTTGGTCAAGGTTTCCCCCACGGTCCCCCTTCTCTGTGAGCCCCCCACCACCATGGCCCCCAGCCGCTCTTGCTCCTCATTCTCCCTTTCCATCGTGGCTGCACTTGCTTGCTCGACAATCCCGTGGAATCCTAGTTCCCCTCTACTCAGCACTGCTTCGGCCTCATCTGGAGCCGTGCGTCTTAGTTCTGGGCATCCCAGTTTAAGTGGGAAAGAAACAAGCTGGAAAGAGTTCAGACAAGGGCAACAGGGACGATCCAGGGTCCAGACACAAAGCCCTGTGAGGAGAGACTGAGAGAACTGGGCTTGTTCAGCCTCGAGAAGAGCGGACGACTGAGGGAAAATATGATCGGACTCTACAAATACATGAAAGCATGTCACAAAGAGGAAGGACAGGATCTCTTCTTGACCATCCTTGAGTGCAGAACGCAGAATAACGGGCTCAAGTTATGGGAAATATATGGATAGGGAAAATTATGGAACCAATTACCTGGGGAGACTGTGGGCTCTCCCACACTGGAGGCAACTGGGCAGCTACCCAAGAGGGATGGTTTGACTTGGGAGTCTTGCATTAAGCAGGGGGCTGGACACGCTGGCCCTCTCGCCCCTTCCAACCTGACCACTCCAGGGTTCTATGACAGGCAGAAAGCCAAGGAGCAGGAAGGCCGTGGCCTCTCCTACTCCTCCGCCTCGCCAGCAACACTGCCTAGGCCAAAGTCTGGGGGAAATGAACAAGCAAGTTTCAAAGGTGAAGAGAAGCAACCTGCTGACGTGTGGCCCCTTAGCCACCGCCTGCCATGCTTCCTTCTGACACTCACCCAGAGCTCAAGTGGATTACTCACCTCTTCAAAGGCATTTAGCATCATCAGGGGGAAGAACGTATTGAAGTGGTCGTCATAATTCTGAAATTTAACTGGAACAGAGGCCACGATAGGTGTGAGGAGGTGATTTGGCGCCCCCAACTGACCAAGATCTATAAACATGTTGTAGGTCCATTTCAGGATCTCTTCGATGAAAGTGTCGTCGTTTTTCGGCCTGACGCTGGCAATATTTGCTTGTGAAAAGGCTGGGTTTGCATCCTGCTTGAAACTGATGGCGGTCAGCATTCTGCCCCTTTCCACAGCATGGTTATTGTGTCTATGTGACAAGAAGTTGTTCAAACTCTGAGGCTGAAAAATACTACTAAATGTTGGGGTTTTGAGCTTCAGACCATCTGAGCCATTAGAACTGCCTGGATTTGACCTGCTCCTCCAAGCAGGCTTCTGGACGTGGTCAAGGTCCTTGGTGAGGTTGGCACTCCGTGAAGAAGAGCTGGAGCTGAAGATCTTAGTCGTGGAAGGTCTGGGAGGTGCCAAAGGCTTGGCAAACATGTGGTCTGGTGGGTCAGGAGCAGGATGGTTTCCAAGGCAGACACCTGCTTTATTCACCTGTTCTGTACAACCTGCATGCTTCAGTTTCTCACCACTGAAGGAGTGATCCTCCAAGGGGCTTTGGACAATTATTGCTTCCATGTCTTCGTCATCCATTTGTGAACTCAGCTCCATGTCCACGGGGTCCCTCTGGGTTAAAAACAAGCCATCGTCCTCTCCAAAGATGTCCTCCACAACCATAGCTTCACTTTCTTTCAAAGTAGTACTCTCATGGCAAAGTTTCGAGGAAGAACCCAGAAAGACTGAAGTGTCTGTTCTATGATTTCCAGTCAGAGGATGAAATAAACTGCCTGGAACAGGAGCAGGGCTTTCTTGGCCTTTTGCATGGGAAAGGGTTGGTTCTTCCTTGGTCGATACAGCAGCTTTCTTTACCGGAGAACCAGGTGCAGGCTGGGCTCCCTCTCTCTCCAGTGAGCTCTGCCTTAACAGACTTTTTTCACCACTAGAACGCCGGAAGCAAGCAGCCCTTTCCTTCTGATTTTTGACCCCCACTATATTGGCAGGCGGTTCACATCCCTTTGCATCTGCTTTCTTTGCTGTTTTCCTGGATTGGGTCCTAGGACTCCCTCCACTGCTGCCCTGAACCCTTTCTCTCGACTGCTTGTAGAACTGGCGTTCCTGAGAGGCTAACAACTTTTTGTTTCTAACAATCATATTAGGAGGCTGTATTAATTTTGTCTTCCGTTTCTGTGGACTTAGCTTGCCAGCAGTTTTACCATAGTTACGCAATTCAGCAAGGCTGTCTTGAGTACGCTGAGACATTTCTGCTGCTTTGCGGGGTTTCTTCTTCAAGCCAAGTTTTTCCACCGCTGATGTTGGCTCAGGAAAATGGTGGACCTTCCTTGGTGGGACAATAAAAGGAGTCGGCGTGGGCAGCTTCTTGTTGTGCGCGTTTGGCTTGGCGCTTCTTTTCTCGGCTTGCTTATTTGCTGTTTTAGCCTGCTGGGATTTCACCGCACTCTTCCCCAGCCTCAGGTTTTCACCAGCAGGCTTTGGTGCAGAAGAACCTGCTGAGCGTGATGCAGTGGGCCCAACAGCACCATCGGCACGCTTCTTCGCGACATGCTTTGGGCAAACGGTTTCACTTCCTCTGCTGGCGTGCCCTTTGCTGGACCGTGCTGACGAAGCTTTGGCTTCGTTTCTGCTGCCTTTCACTTGCTGCTCAAGCTCATCTGCTGCTTTTTCAATGATATCCTCCTTAAGATAGTCTGTATCATAACCCCAGTCATTGAGCTGCCTGGCCACCTCCAAGTCATGGGATATGAGGCAGCTGCTTGGCTTCACTGCCAGGCCTTTGTCCTCTGTTTCCTCCTCCATTTGACTATCTTGCCAAACAGAGAAAATTTCCTCATCGGTCTCAAACTCAAAACACTGTGATTCACATTCATCATACAGAGCCGGGTAATTTGATGTGGTCGCTCTCTCTTGTCCCTGAGCACCGGACGGCTTCTCAAGACAAGCTGGCATGTTCTCTTTTTTGTTCTTTCTACCATCATTCACTTTGTTTTCATCCTCATCGGAGGATGTGTCCGAAATGATGACAACTTGGTCCAGAGGACTGTCTGCATCAGACACTGACCTTTTACTCTCACAGTCGGACCAGGACCGGATGGCACCTTGCACTTTCCTTTGAATGTGATCCTGGCAGTCGACCGTGTTTTCCTGGCTCAAAACAGGAAAATCGCTTGCTTTGGCATACGCAGCTAAGGACATTTTACCAAGGTCTCTATCGACCTGAGAATCGGTCAGTGGGCTTCCCGTGCGAAGGGATGTCTTTTTCATCAGCTGCTGCCTGATCTCTGTAAGAGGAACATTGGCTGTCTCATCATCAGTGCTGCTTCCATCTGAATCCCGTGCTGCTTTCAGGGTATTTCTAAAGTCGGCCAGTGTATCCTTGGACTCCCTTTTTATGCAGAGGGGCTTGCCCTGAAAAGCATCACTTGAGCTCGTTTCCAGTTTGCAGAGTGACACGTTTGATGTGCCACAGCTTGGTGCAGCAACCTCCCCCCTTGGCCGTTCCCAGCCACTGCTTCCGCTGTTAGCAGGCAGCGGCTTGTCTGTATCTGGCCCGGATGCGGGTTTTTTGCTCTTCTGATTTCCAAACAACTGCTTTAGTTTCAAGGTCAAGTCTGGCTTCTTCGATTCATTTTTGTTCACAAGGTTATTCAGACCGACCTTGGTCTTTGAAGCACTGTGGCCATTCCTGTCGCTGTGATTATTTTCAGCCAGACAGCTGGCTTTCTCCTCCTTCGGTATGACCTCTTTTTTCTCCATATTCTGAAAGGCTTGTTCGAAACAACTTTTAGAGGTGGCATCTGATTCACTCTGATCCCCCAACCCTTGGAAAACCCTTCCATTTTTCTGGGCATCTCTGTGTCCTTTTGCGAACATGAATCTCAAGTTATTGCTCTCCTGCACCAAACTCTCTTTGGGTTCTTGTTTAACGTTGCTCAAAAGGCACTCTGAAGTTCGATGAAGAGGCTGGTCTTTAGGAGAGCGTGCACACTGCTCCTTGCCCAGACCAGGGTTTTTCCTGGGTGATGAGCCCTCCAGGCAGACGTCATCCCTTCCTCTCGGGGACAAGTACGGCCCATGCCTGTAGTCTGCATCTGCCAGACACCTGTCCTCCTGCCACTCCAGCTTTACTGAAAGAGAGGGCGGAGATACACAGGCAGTGGGGCTCTCCACGTGAGGCACAGGGTTCAACTTTCTTTGCCAGATGATCTGCTTCAGGCAGGTTTGCAGCTCCAGCGCCCGCTCGGGGCTCAGGTTCCAGTCCTTGTGGCTGCGCCGAAGCAGGTTCAGTTCGTCGAGGAACGGCGTTGCTTTCTGCCCGACCTGGTAGCCTTCCTTCAGGATGTTACGGATCAGATTCATGCAAGCAGACTGGACTGACCCGTGTTCCCAGGAGGAGATGGCCGATGCGCTTCTAGGGCAGCTTCTGGTCCCTCCCCTCTCGGCAGCACAGGCGAAGACTGTGCTTGGAAGGGTGGCGCATTTCACCACGGTCTCCACCCACTTTTCCGAGCAGATCCACAGCGACTGAAAGCAATTTCTTTTGATGCTGAGCTCGACCACCGTCACCAGGATCCAGATGAAGAACTCAGACACTTTGTCGCCACCCTGAAGGGCATCGCTGGGGACCACCCTGACCTCCGAGCACAAGTGACGGATGATCTCGACGCCGTAGGCGACGCCTATGTTCGTGAGGTCCATCAGGGAGTGCACGAAAGGGATGAACCACAGGAAGGTGCTGTTGTGCAGCTGCATGTCTCGGCCAATTTCGGACTGGAACATGTCGCTCAGGGTCTGCATATCCTCATACAAATTGGGGCAGTAATCTGGACAGACAGCAGTCCTCCAGCCAATGTCCTGCAATAAGACCCGGAAAGACACTGCTTAGCATCACACCTCTCCAGCCTGCCTGCCTTAAGAGCATGAGGCAAGTTTTGTTCCGCTTTCCAGGATGAGAAAAAATAAGATCCTTGTGTTGAAATATAGAACTACCTTCTGCTACGCAGGACCGGCACTTTAAAAAGGAAAGCTTTACTCCAGTGGAGGACAGCAAGAGCCCAGCACCGATCACGATGCAGTTTTCAAGCATGCAAGGAAGCAATATTCCCACTAGCGGATCTTCTGGAGGTTACCTTGTGTGGCTTTTCCGGGTGGTAGTTATATACAATCTGGCTGCAGGTAATCATTTCATCTCCGTAGTCTGACGGTGGCTCAGATTTTGTCCTTCAAAATTGCAAAAACATACATGTTTTTAAGGCACATATAGGATAAAACTGTATGTATTTTGATGTATAGCATACATCATCCTGAAAACTCGGGACACAGGGGCAGGGGGAGAAGCACTGATATTTTAGGCATTTATATATTTAACTTTTGTTAAGTGCCCAGGGAGCCCATGGCTATTGGGTGGTCTACAAATGAACTAAGTAACTAAATAATTCCTGCAAGGCTTAGCCTGCCCCAAGGCTGTCCAAACAACAAACATTTTATCATGCAATTATTCACAGTGGCATTTAATTACTCCCAAATTTAACATGTTAACCCAGCGATGGCTAGTTTACAGTAACAGACAAACGTGGGTTCAGCTGCAGGTCTGAGTCACCTTTGCCAGACGTAGGCTTATTACTGGTAAGCCCCCAAATCGGGACGATTATGGGCTGGGCAGGAGGAGTAGCTGACCAGCCTCCTCGCTTCCCCTGCTCTCTATCGATGTGAGAGGCCATTTGCTACAATCCACCTGGAGCATTTCAGATGGGACAGGAAGAAAACTAGGATACCTTGCCCTCTGGCTGCTCCCTTATCATCCCCGCCCAGCAAATGGCTCCCCACTTTCAGATCGCCCCCCCCGAGGCCATTTTTTTGAGCTTCGAGAGCTCAAAAAGTTCCCCAATCTAGCACATCATGAAGTACGTCAGAGTAAAAGCACCAGTACACCCATATGAGGAGCCTCACCGGCTCGCAGGGACCTGGGATGCTGCCCTCCACTGAGGCGGGCCATGGTTGGAGCACAGGATCACACCATAAGTAGTTGAAATCAGAGGAGTGGGGGGAAGAGGGTAGACAAAAGAACTGCCATCTCTCTTCAGAAAGCTAATTCCAGGGCTGAGCACCTGCTCAGAATTACCCTGCTCCTAAATTGAAAGCAATGTATCTGGCCCCTCTGGCCCTGTTTTTCATTTTCTACCAGTTGGTAGCTCTCAGAGATCTACCAGATCTTGTAAGCCTGATGCCTGCACACCAACATTCTAGACTGTAAACTACACATGAAACTAGAGAAGCTGCTTTGGTAGTGGGGCGGAGCCGGGGGAGGTTTGTCTCTATATAAAAAGAGATAAAATACCAACCTTCTGCAACTCTGACGAATGTGCTCTATTTCTTTAATATAACTTGTATTGTTGATTATAGTTTGAAATGCCTGGATTGGATCAATGAGCTGGCCCCACACTTTGGATCCAAGCTTATCCAAGACCACCATGAAACAGTGGAGCGCAGGCCAGAAAGGATCGTCACGTCCGTCTGAAACACACCAACCAAAAAGTGAACAGTCACTCCTTGGGATGAGAACAGCGTGCACGTGGGAAAAGACGGGAGAACACACAAAGGCAAGCGTCTCGTGCAAAAGCAGTATCCCTTACCCACAGAACAAGTCGCTGGAGGGATACAGCCAAACAGCTCTGGAAGACTAACCAAAAAGCACCACCTGAAAATATTCACTTCATTACCCATTCTGGTATCTCCACTTCATCTCTGCCAGCCCCTTTGAGTCACCCCATCACTCTTTCCAGACTAAATAAATCTCCCCTTCAAATAGAGATACATCATCCGCTGGTTTTGATCACTATGCTGTACTTAAAAAGGTAAAAAGGTAAAGGTTTCTCCTTGACATTAAGTCCAGTCATGCCTGACTCTAGGGGGCGGTGCTCCTCTCCGTTTCCTTGCCAAGGGAGCCAGCGTTTGTCCGCAGACAGTCTCTGTGGTCATGTGGCCGGCATGACTAGACACCAAGGTGCATGGAACACTGTTACCTGCCCACCAAAGTGGTACCTTTTTATCTACGTACATTTGCATGCTTTTGAACTGCAAGGTTGGCAGGAGCTGGGACAGAGCAACGGGAACTCACCCCGTTGTGCAGACTCGAACCAGCGACCTTTCGATCAACCAGCCCAGCAGCACAGTGGTTTAACCCACTGCGCCACCTGTAAAGTTGGCTAGATGCATGTGTGCTGGGAAAAGAGCATCTGTGTTACTACTCCTGTCTTTCCCTGTTGATTCTCCCCCCCGCCCCACCTTATTGGTCCCTGAAAAACCTAATGCACGCCATTAACAGAACAAGCTTTGCCAAGAGCTACAGCTCGTTTTTAACCTTCAAATGACACTACTCATTATTCAATAACTTGTTTGGTAATCAAGTTCTGTTAAAGCAACGATCTCACCCCCAGCAAATGGATGCTCAGTCTATTTTTAATCTGAGTTATCATTGCCTCTGATGTTTATTACTAAGTTACCATCTGCTTCTTTCTTCATGGTGTTCATTATGGATTGCATGAAGTCATTCTGCTTGTCTGGGCCAAGCAGCAGCGTCTCCATAGCTTGCTCTTCCAACACCGTTAACAACATGCAGATGCCTGCAGTAAAAGCAATCTGGCTTTAGAAGCGGCCTTGAGCCTTTGCTCTCACCCACCATCCAAATAATGCTTGCCTGGGTAGCGGCACTTGCACACATCCGCAGTGCGGGCTCCTGAATTGCGCAACTGGGTGGGAATGTGAACCTCAGCTTCCCAGCCCTTGTCTGGCACCCCAGCCACCACACCAGGGCCCCCCAACTGCATTGGGATGCTGAGCACATTGGGACTTTTCAGAGAATTGTCACGAGTGTGCTCATAAAAAGTGCCGCGGAGGTGGGAGAGGGGAAGAAATGGTACTTTCTCAAAATGGCTGCCACAGTGGGGATGCCCAGCGAGCTGCTGACACTGGTACAGCAACCAGCCCAAGAAACTAAGTACCAGGCAGAGGTGGGCTCTCAGTTCCGTCACCACTTTCTGGCACTCAAACAAGCACAGCGCCGGAGGGCGGAATGGCACGGTTATCACACATCATGCTCCTGTGGTTTAAAAATCCTGGCAAAACAAACAGCAGGAGAGGAAGGGACCCAGATGGGAGCCAAGAGAAGCATCTGCCTGAGGGAGCCTTGACAGACAGCACAGGGCAGATCCCAGCTCTGCCCTTGGGACAGGCAGGCCTAAAGTCCCTTGCACTGTGGACCGTCCTGATGTGTCTCTGCTCACCAAGCCAGTAGTTCTTGTGGTTGGTGGTATCATACAGGTGGGAAGGCAACAGGATGAGCTTCCCCTTCTCAAACACGGATGAGTTGTAGATATCTGGGTTTTCGAAGAGGCCCAGTTCGATGACTTTGAACAAGCACGTCAAGACTTCCTGGATGTCGTAGTAGTCGTCCCTGTCCACCTTCCCCAGGTTCCTGGCTGTCAGGAGGGCCCACCGGCGGATCTGTGGGTTTGGAGGCACACTCTAGGATTACCACTGAACTAAACCATGGAGCTCACTGGCCGTGTTCACACGGCAGGGGAAAGCCAGGAGCAGCAGTCCACGGGCCCGGCCTCAGACACAAAGGCTGGCTGTTTCTTCCTCATTGGTTAGCTGCTTGCGGGAGCGAAGCAGTGAGTGCTCAGGCCGCAGAGACCAGCATGCGACTTGGTGCTCAGCAAGCCGGGCATCCCTGCCAGAGCAGCGTCGTTCATTCATACACTCGTGCCGTTTCTAGACTGCCCAACGAGAGCTTTCTGCTAAGACAACAAAGCTAATTGTGACAGGATCACAAGGCCAGCTGCCGTCAATTCCCGCTGTTAATAATCCTAAACAAAAGGCTTGCAGAGTCCAGACCACACAAGACTGTACTCGGGGGGGGGGGGGGGGGGGGGGGCCCCCTGCACAGGCCACACTGGAAGAACAGTGAGGTTATTAAGGCTCCACAGGTTGTGTAGCGGGCCTTCAGCTCAGGTATGAGATGGAAAAGACTTTAGCTCAGTAGAGCGTTTCAGGCACTGCTTATCCAGAACTCTTCCTGACAACGCCCTCTCTTCTGTCCATCCCAAGACAAGGATCAGAAGGGGCCGCCTTGCCCCCATATAGCATGCTTTGTGTTTTATACCTTTTGCCCTACAGACCTTTTCGACCACAAGTCTCGATGGCCAGGGGGACAAAGGCTGCAGTCCAATGCATCTGGAGGGAGCCAGGCTGGGGAAGGCTGGCCCAGCCATGAGAGCCCTGGGCTAGGAGGGCGGGCATTCTCACATCCTTCCTGGACACAAGGCTCATGGGATGCTCCGGGGCCAGTCCCTGCCTCCCAGCATCCATGTGACGATAAACAGGGAGAAGGGGATTCAAGAGACCCACGAGCAGTGCCTCGAGTTGACTGGAAGTTGGCAAGATAAATACATCATCCACAGAAAGAAGTATAAGGCCCTGAGGGGGCCGAGCGCTAAAACAGAACGTGGAAGGGCCTGGACGGGACATGACTTCGCTTCTCGAGGAGGAGGATAGGGGGACCCCATATTGTCAGCCAGGTGGAGACTGCCAATGCCAAGCCCTTGGACTGAAAAGGGGGAGCCTCCTACAGGGAAAGCGGCAGCGGCACCTAAGCCTGAAAACAGAAGGAAGCAATACTCAGGGCCACTCACCACTTCGTTGGGATGGACCATGAGGAGATAGATCCCTGGATGTTTGCCAATCACCTGATAGGAAAAGTTGATTTGCTCCATCTTGCAAAGAGCCTCAACACAGAGCTCACCTGCAATCCAAAGACAGAACACCAAGCTGCTGGCATGCCACTGTATGGAGGATGGGTCTCCGTAGGATAAAAAGTCATTTTCACAAACAGCCGTACAGAAGGGACTCTGCAGGGTCCCTTAGCTCAAGCCACTTTGTGGCAGAGAGACTCGCAGCCCTCCGGATGTTCTGGCTCACAACTCCCAGCATCCCACCACTGCCTACGGTGTAGGCCAGCTCTGACCAGAACCGTGGGCCAAAGGATCTGGAGCGTGGCAAGATGCACACGCCTGCTGTGAAGCGTTCCTGGGGGGAGGGCTGGCCAACGGTCTCGTGACGCTACCCTGAAGGCAAGATTCTGCTACTTTCTCTTAGCGCTGCTCTCGCTATCCCATCATGCAGCTTCCATCATTGTCTGACAGGAACAGGCCACAATGAATCCACAGCCCGTGTTTTCAATGAAGTTGGAAGCAAACATTTACCTACAACAGAAACGGTCTTTGAGAACCATGAGCACGACGGGGCGGGACTCGGAGGCGCCCTGCGGCCACAAAGCAGCGGCCGCGGCCAGGAGGGAATGGCCCCTCGGGCAGGAAACACCGATCCCGCGCTGCAAGAAAGACTTCCGCCCACCTCCAGCAGCACGCTGCTACATCGCGCTGGAGGAAAGAGCCGCCGCCGCGTGCAAGCAGATGCAAGCAGACGCGCGCTGCCACGACGTGGACGGAAGCCAGTTCCAGCGGCCAGCGCAGGTGCACGCGGCGCCAGAGCGCGTTGCCCACCGCCACAGGTGATCAGGCGCGCGCAGTGCGCGACGGGGCGAGACACGGAGGTGCCCTGTGGCCACAAAGCAGCAGCCGTGGCCAGCAGCCGAAGGGCGGCGGCCAAAGGGGTCACCACCGTTTGGAGGCCGTTCGGGGGACGAGAGGGGGGCTGGGCTGGCCAAGGACTTTTGTTGAAATAGGCTTGCCTACTGCTGAATCTTAGGGAAGGGGAAGGATGTGTTTTTTTTTTCTTCTCTTTTTCTTCTTCTTTTTATCTTTCTTTTCCTCCTCTTTCGAACTGCTTTATAATTTTACCCTGCTTTAATCAGTGCTTTTGAGTCATCCCTGGCCATGTCGACGTTTATATATCCTGGGGAACACACGGGCGCTGCCATTGGCGTGGTCACGGGCAATGGTCGTTACAGCAATAGGGGCTTAACGTGTCCACGTAGAAGAAGGATGAACAGATGGCTGACACCTATCCCTCCTTCTGGTTCTGCCCCCAACCAGAGGGTGCCAGGTAGCCTTGTCAACCACCCCTCGGGCCTGAAGGTGCTGCTGCTCAATGCCAGGTCGGTCAATAATAAATCTTCCCTCATCCATGACTTGATTGTGGATGAGGGGGCCAACATGGCTTGCATAACAGAGACCTGGGCGGGA